CAGAAGGCCAAAAGACAAAGAGACAGGTGAGCCTGTCAAGGAAAAAGATTCCCCTTGCAGTCAGTGGCTTCCTTGTTGTAGCAGGGTCCCGTTTGTTGTGTTCTCTGTGAATTCCAAAATGGAACAGTGTATATCATCACATATTTACCATGTGAACAAGCTTCATCATTTTTTAGGATATGTGGACGGAGGCGTCATAATTCAACTCAAAAGTGATGTTGATCAACTTAGGGCGAGGGCCCGACTGGTTGAGAGCAATCAGTGAGATTGTGTTGGCTGAGAGCAGCTTGTGGGTCAATAGCCGTGGAGTGAGTTGAGAGCAACTTCATGTTTGCGGCTTAAGCTTGCCCAGCGTTTGAGCCGGGTCTTTAACACAGTTTACAAGTTCTGGATGCTTTTGGTCCTGGAGTGTTGCATTACGCTTTGTTGCTCAGGTTTTTCTAACTGGTGTTTGAATTGAATAGGTGCATGGCAGGAAGCATAGGTTGTCTTAATATACTTTAATCGCCGAATGGTTTGGCGTCTATCCGTTTAGTTGACCAGATACCGAAAGCGATGGCCACTTCATCCATTTTGGACTCGGAGGCCACGTTCGTTCAGCAATCGGAGGAGGCAGGGCTCACCGGACCCTGGATTGATGCACTTAGGGCCAATGGTTTGGCCACATTTGCAAAGCTTAGTTTCGCAATCACCAGCCTTGGAACAGTGGCCACGGATGAGCAGGTGAATGGGTTTCTGAATACGTTGAGGGTAGGCGTTGCGGCGACCGTAGCAGAGCTAGCGGCATTCAAGAGGCTGTTATTCGAGAGTCAGACCCTGATGATGCATGGTTTCAAGTCAACAGCAAAAGGGGACGAAGTGACGCCCCGACGCATGGCTCAACCCGAGCGAGAAGCAAGGTTAGAAAAACAGAGGGAGCTTCTACGAGGCTTAGACATCAAAGGCCCTCTTGAACCAGCACATGCACTATACGACGTTTGCGCGGCCATGATCGAGCGCAATGAGGTGTCATATATCAACCCCAACAGATGCTTGTCCCGTCAGCAGGAGCTCATGGGCTCAAAACCGGAAAAGGAGATTCAACTTGATGCTACAAAGACCTCGCTTGTAGTCAAGGAACATCAGAGTCACCCAGAGATCAACATTAGCTCGGACCTTGCACTCTACCAGGCGCTTCAAAGGCGCACCCTGGCAATGGATCTTACTGGTTTGGCTTCGTACGAGGTATTGAGAAAGTGGGTGGATCGTCTGATGTTTGCTCTTTATGCTCAAGCTCCAGCACCAGGTTTCCAAAAAGTAACCCAGGCACAATTGCTGAGGGCTGACCGCCAAGCCTTTGTGAGAATCAGTGAGCAATTCACGGGATCACTGAAATCTTTCGCTGGTGCTGGGAAACCTTTGGATCCACTTATTGAACGTTTGGAATCTGACATGACAGTAACCTACTTCATGCTCCCCATTCCAGCAGGTCAAGGTCAAAGTGGTAGCAGTGCAGACAAAGGTGACAAAGATAAGAAACGCCCTGAACCCTCAGCTGGTATCAAGGGGAATGCAAATCAGAACAAGTTCCAAAAGGGAGCATCTAAAGGTGCCAACAAAGGCGCCAAAGGCAAAAGAAGAGATCCTGTACCTCAGTCCTTGAAGGGAATGCATTCCAGAACGCCAGAAGGCGACGCTATTTGTTTTGGATACAACTTGGGATCTTGCAAACAGGGAAGCTCTTGCCCACGTAAGCATGTTTGTGCGGTTCCTGGATGTTACAAAGCTCACCCCCAAACAGAGCATCAGTAACTTCCTCGTGAATCCACTGCAGGGTTGATGGAAGCCGAGAACTCAAACTCAGACCTGTTGAGTTGAACACGGGAACAATGATACCGGTGTGACACCGTAGCTGGGAGAACCAGGCTTATCCAGCTAGAATTATTTCGAGGTACAGGTAACCTGACCTATGCAATGAAACGTTTTTGCTGCGGGTTTTTGGCGTTGATCACAAAGTGAGCAAACAACGCGCCACAACCATTTGCTTAGCGTTGCCAAAGGAAGACCGCCACGTCAGGTGGAACAGGGGGCGCTGTCTGGGAATTACAGCTTCGAGTGTGTGATTCAGATGCCTTAGTTGACAGATGCATGGACCTCCACTCCAATCCCCAGATGGCATTCCATGTTTAAAAAGGCTGCATGCAGTTAGTTTTTTCGAATAGCGCAGTTTTTCTTGCAGGCAAGGGTTAAAGTGCATTTGTCAGGTGTCCAACAGTGGTGTGTTATGTCTTTTAATGCTTTATGTTTGGACAACATGAACAAGCGCCATGGTCCGTCGGCAATTGCGGTTTTCAACACATCGCTGAAAGCTGAATATACACCGTGTTTTGCAACGGCATTGGCTACAGCATTTTGAGTAGCAACGGCAGATGAGTTTCAATTACCCAATAGGGTTTTACCTGCACGGCGACTCAGAAAGTCGCATTTCACCGCCGTGCTTCTGCAGACCAACATAAAAATTGCTTCCGCTTGCCACCGGACCAAAAGTTTTTCCACAATGTTGCAGCTTTCAATGTGCCTCGCCTGTTTGGGTCTCATGTAGTTGACTCTGCTTTGAAGCTGTGTTTCATACAACCTGAGTTGTGGCATCCTCGTCAACGAAAGTTTTTTGAGAACGACCTGCCTGAAGGGGGGGGGAGAGCCGTCGTTTTTTGAATGGTTGCAGGAACGACACCAGCCCTGCAATCACTATCTAACATCACTTGGAGTACAACGGTTGCAGTGAATCGTTGTGGCAAAGGAGTTTGCCATGTTATTACAATTTTGCTTTGGGTTGGATCAACCGGAACTGGTACGTTGTGGCAAAGGAGTTTGCCATGTCATTACAATTTTGCTTTGGGCTTGGTCAACCGGAACTGGTACAGGTTGTGTACCAGGTTCGAGTGGCCGAGCCTATGGCTTTACATTTTTGCAGCGTGGATCTCTGACGCAACGTGGGCTTCATTCATTGTCGATTTCTGCAGCGCTTTCAGTGTGCTTACCTTTCTTTGTCTGTTTCTCTGGATTGAAGTCTGGGCTCGGCCCTTGCGCAGCCGCTGGATGTAGACTCGAGAACTTCTATGCCCGAGGTACATGATTTACAGCAGTGGCTCGGAGGATTTTGGCAATACGCCTGGAAGGAGACTTTAAAAGGAAGGCGAACATGATTGGCTGGGTGCTCTTTTTATCTTCGGGAAGACTGGCAGAACGATGCTACAGTATCCCGGGGGGTTTCCCCTTCGGAACAGTCGGGTAAAGTACGGCCTATCGATGATATGTTGCAGCGTCTGGTAAATGCAAAGGTTACTGTCTGGAATGGCCACTGGGGTTGACCCCGGTGTTATTCGTACGTTTGCAGTCTTTCATGATGAGATGTTTTAGGTCTAGGGGGAAGAGCACCTGCCTTTTTGAGAAGGGCGCTGGATTCGACATAGATGTACTGGTGGACGTCCTCAACTTCATGTGAAGCTTTTTATTTGGCACCGAAGACGGATATTTACGCCCCTCATGGTTGATGTCGATAGTGAGGGCATGAAACCTTTCATGATCCAGGGTTACTCAGTTCCAGATCAATAACAGCAGTTCGTGCACTAGCAGCGACCTATCTGGACGCAAGCTGTATTCATACATGGTTCAGCAGGGTTCCCCCTTAGTCAAATCTCGCAGGCTTCCCTTCCAGACCCAAAGATCATCCTCTTTTAAAAAGAGATTTGAGTGTGTTGTATGGTGAAGTAAAGGATGCCTTCAGTGGCATCATGAGTTTTTCAAAGGATAGGCGAGAGCGCCACAATAAACATGGGTGGGGGCCGTGGCGAAAGCGGGCGGCTTGATTTCCCCATCTGTAAGGTAAAAAAGTGCTGAACCTTGGTGCGCCAGTGAAGCTGTTTATTTTCGAGCATGATCATTTGAGCATTGTGTTTTGAGTGGAGTTTCGAACGACGACAGCGTATGTTTTGCGATATATATATATACTCTCATATGGGGTTATATATATATATATATTTGTGTATGTCTGTTCTCTTGACGTTGTTTGTCCCTGCATGGTGTTGTCTGTGGTTTTTAGGCTGCACGCGTTGTAATTTTGGATGTCCACGGTTTTGGGTATTGGAAAAAATAAGTTGCGACTCAGCGGGCTGATGTAACTTTATTTTTCCTCTCCCAAAAAGAAGCTGAGAGCAGCTTCTAGTTGGACTCCTCTCGCGTCTTCTGCGTGCGCCCTCCGCGTCTCTTTGCGCGTGCATCTGGGTTTGTGGTGACTGTGCTTAACTGTGGGTTCTTTCCAACAGCGGTTGGTTTTTATTCCTGGGTTAACTTTCAAAAGTGAAACCTCTGAACCTGCGGTTATTTTTATTGTCACCTTATTTTTTCAGTGAACGTTGTGAGCAATGTTCTTTTATCCAGAATGCCCATCTGCGCAAGGATGACACACACCATGTTTTGAGAGGGTAACAGAGTTACCTTAGATGTCACTCAAATATTTTCTTTGTGTGGCTGTTTCTTACATCAAGTAAGCGCCTCCAAAGGGAGGGAGGGTGGGTTCCACTTCTTTTAGTGGTAGTTGTTTCTTTTGAGCCCCCCACCCACCCTACTTCTTTATTCCGGTGAATGCACCTTAATTCATTTTCAAGAATACGCGTGGAACGCCACCTAGTTTTAAGCGTGTTCTTCGTTCTTCTTTTCTCCCCCGAAAGCGGGCGGCTTGATTTCCCCATCTGTAAGGTAAAAAAGTGCTGAACCTTGGTGCGCCAGTGAAGCTGTTTATTTTCGAGCATGATCATTTGAGCATTGTGTTTTGAGTGGAGTTTCGAACGACGACAGCGTATGTTTTCATATGGGGTTGTATATATATATATATTTGTGTATGTCTGTTCTCTTGACGTTGTTTGTCCCTGCATGGTGTTGTCTGTGGTTTTTAGGCTGCACGCGTTGTAATTTTGGATGTCCACGGTTTTGGGTATTGGAAAAAATAAATCATTGACTACATGCAGCATCGAGTTAGTGAAGGGTGCGGCAAGACAGTTCCTGAGAGTTTTCATATTTCACTCTGTTTGATTGAACAGTTGGGGCGCGTTCCAGAAGGGGAGCGCTTGTCAGAGGAGCAGCTCTGGAGGTCACATATCAAAGCTTGGGGAGCTGAGTTGGCTGAGGATTCACCGCCAGTCAAACCGGCTGAGATGTATACAGTTGCAGTTCTCCTTTCGCTTGAGCTTGTGGTTGCAGATGAGTCCCAGCGCATTTTTGCCAGGGCTTTGGCTTGGGTTGTGCTGGTGATGGTGTGGGGCTCAATGAGATGTGACGATGTTCAGTCTGTTTTGGCGCACAGGTCAACGTTGTCCAACTACGGGCTGAGATTGGTGTTGGGGAAGTCCAAGACTTCAGGCCCTGACAAGATCCAGAAGGAGGTGTCAGTGCATGTATATCGAACAGTTTCTCTTACAGGTGAAGATTGGGGAATCTGAGCAGTTCAATTTTCGGAGAGATTATTTCGTGATGGAACCTTCTTCAAGTTGGGAATCTGTGAAACGGAAGTTTGTGCCCCCATCTGGTTTGAGTTCATTGATCAGCAAGCTGTTGAGTGACTTGCCTGTCCCAAAGAAACACTTGGATGGCTGGGTGATGAACGCGGGGGCACTTCTCCTGCCTGATGGGCTGGAGAGTCATTTCACTGGCCATAGCCCTCGCAACTTCCTGACCTCAGTTGCAGCTGCCATTGGATTCCATCGGGATCAACGAGCTTACTTGGGCCGCTGGGCAATGGGAATGGTGGCTTCGGAAGAATATGTGAGGACCTCTAGGCAGGTGGTCTTCACCATTCAGAAGGCGGTCAATAGGGCAATTGTCACGGGTTTTGATCAAGAGTATTTTGAAGACGAGGCCATTGACAGGCTTTGCAAGTCAGCAGAGGATTCAGGTGCAAACCGCAACAGAATCCGGAAGAGGCACACGGTCTCTTCAAACTTGTCTGGCAGGTACAGTCTTGGTGGCGTGTTCCCAACGTTGGAAGTCTTGCCAGACGACTGGTTTGAGGTTGGTGATAATGAAGCCGATGAGGCTACCCTGGAAGCAAACATTCAGGAGCAAAAGGCTCGTGCGGCGACGGCTGATAAGGCCGTGTCAAAATTCTTTGTGACAATTTCGAGACGCACGGCATTTCGACGTCTTCACCTCACGGGTTGTTTTGTCAAGCCTTCCAATTGCACTGAAGTGCGCATGATGGACGAGGTGGGGAATGAAGATTTCGATTCCATTTGCAGAGCATGCAAGAGGAAGATGCTGGCTGAGAGTGGGAAGGACGATAGCGTTGAGTCCAGCTCCACTGCCTCCTCTTCATCGACGGCCAGTGTGGCTGAAGAGGAGGGTGTTGATCCTTAGCTTTGGCTGAGTGATGAATGGATTTGGTTTCATGCTTGCAGTATTTGGTGTGTGCACGGTTTCACCCATTGTGCATTTCAGGACGGCTGGTCAGTGAAAAGGGTTGTAGGCGTTTTGACGCATTTGTTTGGGAGTGTGTTGCAACCTCAGTTGGCATTTTCTCATTTGAGTTCTTGTGCAATTTCTTTGGGCTGAGGCTTCAATTGTTCAGACAATTTCACTTGAACTTTCAGGCATGTCATTTGTGGATTTGGCTTTAGACCTCAGGGTGAAATGCAGCAGCTCAGGGACAAACATGATTCAGATCTTGTTTGGAAGGTGGCTCAGACCATAGGGTGCCACGTGTCAAACGTTTAGACGTTGGCAGACTGTTTCAAGTTCCTTTTGGCATGTTTTGTTTTCATGTGGTGTTTGGGATTTACTTTCAACTCTCGTCAGTGCGGCGATGGCTGTCGACCCAGATCAAGATGACAGAGCTTTCATTGCTGAACATATGGATGCAGACCTTCAATTCATTTTGAGTGAGACTGGAGTCTCGTTGCACCGTCAGGCAGCAATTGCCAGGCGTTATGGGACGCTTAGGAAGTTCAATGCGATTGGAGACGATCGTGCACAGCTGAGAGTTGCCTGTTTGCAGGATTTCGCTATCCCTCAGGACACTCCTGAGAACAGGGCAGAGGTTGCCGCAATCGTTGCGGCCTGGGAGACGGCAAAGGAGTTTGTTGCCAAAGAAGTTGAATTGCGCGCAGAGGCAAAGGTATTAGGTCAACCAAAGATCTTGCAATCTCACGAAAGACAATCAATGATTCGTGCTGTTGAAAGGATTCATGGTACTTTGGGCGAGTCTGAGACGCCGAGCTCAGATTACTTGGCGCTGAAGGCTGAGGAGACAGAGCTGAACGAGCCATCGGCATCGCCCTTGGATGAAATCATTAGCAAACGTGACAATGCAAGTTCCACCATCCAGTCTTCTGTTGACACTTCTGGGCATTTGAGGGTGACTAGGACGAAGAACAGAGCAAAGATGCCTAGCAATACAGAAGAGTATAGAAAGATCATGAGGGTCGAGATGTTTGCTTGGCTATGCATGTCAGCACGGTACAGGGCGAAGAACTGGCTACATGGATTGGAGGCGGCTGATTTCAACAAATTTGTGGATTTCATTTTGGGGGAGCGTGTGCTGGGCATACAGATACCCACAAGTGATGGAGGACAACAAAAGGTGAAACCAGATTGGGCCATTGTTATCATTTGAGCACAAACTGAGAAAAGAAGCCATGAGACTGGTGGTAAACGAGGGATACACTTTGGCGAATGCGTTGCGGGCTGTGACAAAGGATGCAGACCTTAAGGAAGCATTCTTCACCACTCCTGTTGCCCTACGTGCAGCTGCCTCAGAAGCTCCACAGAACAAATGGCCCAGGTTCAACAGCAAGGGTTCCTTTGCGTCTGGAAAATCCAATGCACAAGGCTCCAAAGGGAAAGGAAAGTCTGGAAAATCGAAAGGGAAAGACCAGCGTTTGGCTGGGCTTCAACTGGCATGGAGGACACCAGATGGACGTGACCTGTGCTTCGCATACAATTCTGGTTCATGTGACAACAGTTGCAACAGGGTCCATCAGTGCAGGGTAAAGGGTTGTTACGGCGATCACCCAGCAATTCAACATAGAGACAAGGACAAGGGCCGCGGCAGCAATTGACAGGTTGGGTGTGATGTCCCAGCAGCCAGCACGGGATCACACCCTAAGGTTGCAGAACCTCCCGAAGTGAAGGTGATGTATTTATTTGCTGGAAAAAGACGTCAGTCTGATGTGGCTTCCTTTTTACAGCAGGCCCATGATGAAGGACGTATACGACTGACTCTTAAGGAGTATGACTTGGAGCTTTCACCGGATCATGACTTGACAGACCTCTCCATCTGGGAAGACATTTGGAATACCCTTAAAGAGGGTGACTGGTTGTTGTTGGTCTCACCACCGTGCAATACTTTTTCACGGGCAAGGTTTCATTTCTTGGAATCCCCTGGCCCTAGGCCATTGAGGAATTTCATTTGGCCACGAGGCTTCCCATGGTTGTCACATCACCACAAGGCTGTCGTGGAAGAAGCAAATTTATTTGTGGACAGATGCATTGCAGCATGCGTTACATGCCATGCAGCAGGGGGAAAATTCATCATTGAACACCCGGAAGATTTGGGACTGGTGAAAGGTGAGCGTCCGGGCTCGATATGGCAGTGGCCAGAAATTTTGGATTTGATACCTTCTTGCAATGCAAACTCATTTGCCATTCAACAGTGCCATTTTGGCGCACTTACACCCAAGCCCACCAGATTCCTGTCTACGTTTGAGTTTCAGGATGACAGGTGCCATTTTGGACTGCCGCGTTTGGACAAGCTTGGGGCGTACAAAGGACCACTTCCAAAATCATGTGGCCACCACCATAAGCACAAACTTTTAGGGAAGACTGCAAATAAGTGGAATACAAGCCCAAGCGCATCATACCCGCCAGGGCTTTGCAGATTTTTGGCTGACTTGGTTCTCAATGCAACAGCATCCTACGGAAGGGGGAAGGCGAACCAACCCCAGCAAGTTGCTGGAACACCTGGACCCCAGCAAGTTGCTGGAACATCTGGACAGCGAGATTCTGGTAAGGGAGGAAGTTCCTCTAGCAAGGGTTCAAACTTTGGGCAGAGCAACAATGGAATCGGGGAGAGTCTCCCCAAAGAGAACACACCTTGCAACTCTGGCAGTGGAGGAAGTTCCTCTGCTCCATTGGATGGCACTTCAAAGAATTGCGCAGTTGATTTAACTGGTTTTTCGGATGGCACTTCAAAGAAATGCGCTGTTGATTTAACTGGTGATGACTCCAAGGTTGGGGAGTTAGATGCAGACGAGTGTGTTGCTGAGGCTTTTGACATGGAGGCATGTTGCAATTTTGGTCCTCCCATCAAAGTTGAATGGGATGGGAAGACGCATGACTTTGTGGATGGTTTTGGAATGTGCTCACCTACCAGGTGGGCCCCTCAGTCTAGAGGCCATGGCAGGAAGGCACATATGAAAGTTTTGGCGGCTGAGACTTACAGATGTTTGCATGCTGCAGTGATGGGCGCGATCAAGGACGTTAGGCGGGAGGCCTTCAAGCTGGTTACAGGGAAGCTCCAGGCGTCCCCTTTCTCTTCAGAGTTGCTACACAAAGTCAGGTCTCAGATTGCGTCACAGTTGAGGGACCCTACTGAAGCAATGGTGGTGGATTCTGGGCAGCCCTTTCTGTTGCGGCTCTTGTCACAATGGCTTGAAGTTTTCGAAGACCCTGACGCGGCCTGCTTGGTCAACACAACGGACTCATTTGCCACGGGGGTGAACGTTGGAGTGGACGATCCTTTACCAAGGACGCCTCAAGTTTTTCCGCCAAAGGTGAAGCATCGGAAGTTAGATGGCACAGAGTTCAACCCCATTGCTGACAACTACGTTTCAGGGCAACTGTCAGCCAAGGAATTAGAGGAGAAGTTCAGGGAGGAGGAGGCGCTTGGGCGCATGGAACCCTCTAAGATGTCTGTCTTGAGGGCGCGCTACGGGGATCGTTTGCGTGTGGCTGCAATGGCGGCGATCAGCAAGCCTGACGGTGGTGTCAGGCCTCTTCATGATGCCACCCATTCTGTGATGGTTAACCATGCAACCAAATACAGGGATCAACTACAGTGCCCAGGTCCGGCAGAAGTTGCTGCTGTGGTTAGAGAGGCGGTGGAGACCCGAGAGGCGGTGTTTTGCGTTTCGGCTGATATCAGGGCGGCTCATCGCTTAGTGAAACTTAGGGAGGAGGATTGGCCATATGTTTGCTGCCGTGCCGATTCTCTCTCGGAGGTTGTTTGGATCAACAAGGTGGGAACATTTGGAGTGTCAAGTGCTCCTTACTGGTGGTCGAAGCTTTTCGCTTTGATTGGACGTTTTGTGGGACATGTCATGCAGACGGCGGCTTACTGGCATTTGGTTTATGTGGATGACCTGCACGGAGCATTGACTGGGCCTCTCAAGTTTGAACTTTTGTGGGTATGGCTGTTGGCGTTCGAGGTCATTGGGACTCCATTTGGTTATCACAAATTCAAGGGTGGTTTCTCTTCAGATTTTGTGGGTTTTCATTTACGGTATGACAGGAATCAAGTTGGGATTACAGACAAAAGAGGCTTATGGCTTCTCAACTGGATTCGAGCGTTGGAGGAGAAGCGGTATGTTGTGCCGGCACGGGAGTTCAGTGAATTCCTAGGCAGGCTAGGGTTCGTTGCACAGCTTTTGACGTGGCTCAAGCCACACCTCTCACCGCTGTTTGCTTGGAGTGCTGTTGCTTCACCTGGCTTGGTTGGAAGATTGCCGGATACTGTTATTTTGACGCTGCACTACATCGCGGCGGAAATGTCTGGTGAAACCTTTTTGATCTCTGCAAAGAGACCGGTGTTTTTCAATGCTGAGCAATTCAGGACTGACGCAAAGTGCACACAGGATATTATAGTTTTGGGAGGTTGGGAACTGGAGTCCAAACGTTGGTTTTCGTTGAACGCAGGTTCCGTATTTGTTCAAGCCTGATGGAGGTGGAGCGCAATGGGCATCGACGTCAGCGGAGCTCTTAGCTTCCCTTTGCGCTTTGGTTGCATTTGGTTGGCTGTCGCCTACGACTGCGAGGCGCACTGTTGCCTTAGCTCTTTCGGCCGGCACTGACAACATGGCCAACGAATTTCTTAGTTCAAAGAGGGCCACGACGAAATGGCCCCTCATGCTGATCAACATGCAGTTATCGGCGCTGTTGGCCAGGGCAAGACTGAGCTTGAATTTGAAGTGGCGCCCACGAGAAGAAAACGTGGAGGCGGACCAGCTAACAAATGAACAGTTTGATGCCTTTTCTTTGGAGGCCAGGGTCCACGTGGTTTTTGAGGACTTGGACCTTTCTTTGGTTGAGGCACTGTGGAGGACGAAATCCCAATTTGATGCTGCGAGACAAGAGGCAAAGGCTTCTGACAAAACGGCAGCACCTGGAAGGAAGAGAAAGTACGATAAGACGCCGTGGTGATGTGTGCGGCAACAAACCGTCGCTAAAGGGGGGGCTACATTCGACACTTTGCTGGCCACACCCCTGGTTTGCTGCACAATACAGTTGGAGCGGTCCAACTATGACAGGCGCTCTGGCGACAACGAAGGTGTCAAGCTGGAATAGCGCAGGACATCACCACCGATGAAAAAAGGGGAGATCACCGATTCAGCTGAGAGTTCTCATTTTGCAGATGTCAGTCATTCATTCGATGCAGTTTTGGTACATGTGCAGTTTGTTTATTTGGTTTTCAACCTCTCCCCGATTTCTCGTGTGAAACAATGTTTGATGGTTTATGGTTCCTCCTTTATCACGCGGTCCTGCGGCTCCCCTACCTCCTTAACACATAGCATAGTGTAGGCTTCATAGGGCGTGCCCGTGAGTCTATACGGTGCTATGTGGGTGGGTGGGTGGGGTCCTTGTGCGTGTAGACGCTTTCTTCGTCGGTATTGTGGCAACTGCGTTTGTAGCGATTGGGTTCACAAACTGCAAACACAAATGCCTGGTGTTTTATTACAACTTCTGTTTGTCTTGTTGACTTTGACGTTTTGCAACGGCTTCAGTTTGACCACAGGTTTCAATACAGTTATTTGGCAGTGCAGACTTCGTTGGAAGTTGACTTCAGAATTTCCGTTGGATGGATTCCTTTCTTGACTTGTCAGTTTTTACAATGCTTGGAACTCAATGTAATTTTACTGGTCACTTAGTTTCCTGTCAGATGCCGATTTGACACTGGAATTCAATATGTATCTTCGAGGAGCGCAGGCTCACAGATTTGAAGTTGCCCACCCTCCCAGACCCTTGTTTTTGGGTTTGTGGAGGGTGATTCCTGCGCTGAAGTGACTCACCAGCTCTGACTTTACAATTGCGGGGGGCTACATTCGACACTTTGCTGGCCACACCCCTGGTTTGCTGCACAATACAGTTGGAGCGGTCCAACTATGACAGGCGCTCTGGCGACAACGAAGGTGTCAAGCTGAAATAGCGCAGGACATCACCACCGTCACCACCGATGAAAAAAGGGGAGATCACCGATTCAGCTGAGAGTTCTCATTTTGCAGATGTCAGTCATTCATTCGATGCAGTTTTGGTACATGTGCAGTTTGTTTATTTGGTTTTCAACCTCTCCCCGATTTCTCGTGTGAAACAATGTTTGATGGTTTATGGTTCCTCCTTTATCACGCGGTCCTGCGGCTCCCCTACCTCCTTAACACATAGCATAGTGTAGGATGGCCCTAATTGATTGCTTCCACTCTCTCCACTTCCTTGTGGGCTGTTTTTGTCAATCACTTTTCATCGTTGCTGCAGTGTATTTGAACTATGGCGTGCCCAAGGCTGACCATGAGCCAGATTTGGAAGCTCAGGCCTTGCAGCAGCCTTGAACCGTAATTTGGTGGAACTACAAGTCAGAAAGCGCCATCAGACACAAAAAAAATGACCAATGTTTGTTTATGTTTGTTTGTACATGCCAAAACAGTTTTATTTGAACACTGCCATGCCTTCATGCATCTTTTTGTGCATGCACCTGTGCAGTGGCATGTGAATATGACCGCCAGGTGACGGGCCCACTCAGAGCGGAGATTCGGCAAATCTCACTTGAAAGAGATAGGGCGCCAACTTGTGCCCATGCGGTTCGCAGCAGTCGGGGGTGGGTTCCGGAGTCTCAATTCCCGGCATGTGTTTTCACGGGCCCAATTGCCGGAATCCTGGCTCCCAGATCCTCACGAGCCTTGCCGCAGCGCAAAGACGCCGGAATGCGGAGGCTGCAAGTCTATCCTGCCTGTGGCCCTGTGGTGAAATGGGCCCATCACTGACGGTTTTTTCGCATGGACCCACGTCAAAGTACGATTTCCTCAATTTCAACAAGTTGACAAAGAGAGCGGACTAGCGTGGGGCGGTGGAGTGGTGAAAGTATTGATTTTGCAGTTTTTTCGACATATGGAAATGGTTTGCAAATGAAGCCACAAATCACGACTGTCTAGAATACTACATTTTCTTCAGAGATGTTGTCTCCTTCCAAAAATGTTTTATTTTTTGTTTAGCATTTTGGAAAAGAAAACGTGACTATATATAATGATTTTGATGCCTGCAATGAACTCTGCATTATATTGTTGTATATATTACCGTACGTACATATATATCAATACATACATATACACCTTATTTGACAAAATTGTTGTTTTTTTCACAGTAGTTTATGTTTTCCGAAAAATATGTATTTGATATTGAACAGACATGGTTGCAATTTCCAGATGCAAATTTTGCATTTTTTGAAAAGTGTTCTGCATCCTTTCATGCTGTTCATGAGTGTTTTTCACAAAAGAACATGTCCAAATTGAACATGCACTTCTTTAAAAGATGTGTTTAACTAGGATTGAACCTAAACCTTTTCCAGGCATCATCTATATTTTGCCTTAAAAACGCCGCATTGTTGAAAAACAGTAACACACTTGCAGGGAAACAATACACACTTACAGTAATACACTTTCTCATTTTTTCAGTAACACATGACAGCGCAACTGAAACTTTTTGAAATGCACTTCCTGCAAAGACTGCTGTATCTTGTTTTTTTTGGAGAAGATCATGCATCTTGAAAACAACCCTGCTTTCTGCAGTGAATTGTGTCGTGTACCTTTGTGAAAATAAAAATACAAGCACATGTTGAAAAACTTATTGCATGCTCTGCATAATTGCTGCCCCTTTCAAAGGAGATAATGGGCTGTAGGCTGTATTGGACAAAAACTGGTTGTATTCTCCAGCTGTAAGCTGTACACTTCCTGCTAGGGGCATCGCGTCCTTGAATAGCATATTGCTGATTGTTGTAGGAGTGATGTCTGACTAGTGGGAGGGGGAGTGATTTGCGTGGAAAATATTGTATATTTCAATCATACATGCTGTTTGAAAAATTAGTACGTCTTAGACTAGTGTTTTCAAGATATAATGCATGACTACAAGAATGTTTCTTTCAACCTGTTACATTGTACAAAGAACACTTGAACATTAAAAATGAAAATGAGCATGTCTGTTCAAAGGAATGCCAGCATTTCTTCAAGAAATGCTGTATCTGTGGCATGCAAGATTTGCCAGTAAAAATAATGTGGCATTCGACAAAATAGTATCCGTTTCTTCCGAAGGAAAACAACATTTTTCTTTAGATGAATCTTGTTGTGAGGGATACAATATTGCTTTTGCGGGAACAAACATTTTGAAACATTTTTTTGTACAACAAAGTGTTGCTTAAACAATCCATTTTTTGAAAAATATGTGTTTTATGTTAGATATCACTTTTAGTGATTCCCGGTTTGAACTAAACCTTTAAAGATGAGGAACCAAAACCTTGGCATACCAAAAAAACATCAGTCCAATGGAGTGCCTGAAGAGGTGGGTGATCGAACCGTTTTTACGGTAAATTTTCTCTGATGGTTCAGTAGCCAAAATCAGTAACTCAATGAAGAAATCAATATGAAATGTCGAAGGGTGAAAACTTTGCCAATGAATGTATGTCAGGGTGAAAATTTTTCTCAGGAACCCAAGGGGCAGGAAAACAAAAAACACAAAAAAATGAGCAACTGATATTGTTGGACTGACACAGTGGCAAAAACCTCGAGGAACCAAAGCAACAAAAAAAACAGTTTCGACCCATGGAGAGGGTCTGAGGAGAAGCTGGACAGGTGACACGGGTTGATTCTTTTTGTTTTTTCCATTGGTTTTGATGCGTTTTTGGGCCAAGGTGGCAAAAGCCTCGAGAAAACAAAAAAACACAAAAAAAATTGACCCATGGAGAGGGTCTGAGGAGAAGCTGGACAGGTGACATGGGGTTATTTTTTTTGTTTTTCCATGGGTTTTGGGGCGTTCTTGGGCCAAGGTGGCAAAAACCTCGAGAAAACCAACAAAAAAAAAAACAAACAAATTTGACCCATGTAGAGGGTTTGAGGAGAAGCTGGACAGGTGACATGGGGTGATTTTTTTTTCCATGGTTTTGGACTAATTTTTTCCTCTTTCAGAATTCGGATTGTTTGTATGAGAGTTTGGGATAGATCCAAGCTCCAGGAATGGAAGCAGATCAGCAGACAGGATGATTTTAAGCAGACACTGCAAAACATTCGCGTTTCTACAATGTGCACACCTGCACGTGGGTCCCCTGGTTCCGGCCATCATGGCGCGCATAGGTTGAACGCCGACAACATCTCGAAGAGCGAATTGAAGTTGCAGCAGGTGCGGCCGGGGACACTGGCGAGTCCACCCTGTGTTGAATTGGTCTGATGGGTATGCCCCCTGCCATTTCATGAGTGAAAATGATGATTCATGAATGGATTTTGGTACCCAATTTGAAGACACAACCGAATGATTTAATGCCGAATCACCATTAAATATATGTAAAGGAGAGTCAAGCATTATTGATGAGTGATTGAATGGAGATTTTACAATCGCATTTTGCGATTGGTTGAGCACAGCACTCATGCCCAGTTTATCACCATGGAAACCATGGATGACACGTACAAATCTAAAGTGTAACAGGACTTCCTTTCACGTCACATGACACGTGAGAGTGCATACATGTCGAGGCCCTGAGGTTCAAGAAAAGGTGCGACAGCCCTTTGATTTCACGTTGAACCTTTGCATGGTAGCGGAGCTTGCCGTCTGCCATTGCCGCTGAACTTTTGGTGAGAAGCTGCAGTGATTGGAAGGGCCCATACGAACATTTCTGGTTGACAGGACATCTGGTGAGCTGGCTTGGTTCTTTTCACTAGGTACAGACTGGATTCTGGAAGTGGCAGGGTGCTGGATTTTCACTGGCAGTAAGGGAAACAATTCGAAGTGCTACGTTTTAGAAGTTTTCTTTGGACGTTTGCATTGCAGTTTGGTTTCATGGCCGCCTTCGACCCAAATGTGTTTCAAGCAGCTCTTTTGAGGGTTGCAGAGGCAACAGAAGCAGCCGCTGCGGCAGCAAAGGCAGCAGCTGCACCACCGCCACCACCGCCGACTTCAAGCTCTTCCACAGGGAAGACTTCAGTGGATTGGTCAAAATTGATCAGTCGCCCTGCACCATTTGACTACAAAACAATGGATGAAGATCTGAAGAACTTCAAGGACTGGCTGTGGCAGTTGACACAGTATCTCATTACAGTAGAGAGAGCTACGAGGCAGATCTTCGTGCCTTGAGTGATGACCCCAACAAGCCGATGGACATGAGTACAGCATCAGCGGAAACCCGTCAGAGGTCAGCCAAGCTCTACGGGCTTTTGGCCAGTTTGGTCAAGAATCGGGCTCTGGGGATCATTAGAGCAGCTCCTGCAGGGGATGGCTTTGAGGCTTTGCGTCAATTGACGATATCGATGAGACCCAACATTCAGTCAAGAGGTCTCGCGCTACTCACAAGTGTGACTGCGTGGCCAGGCTTCAGCATGAACAAGTCGCTCCAAACCCAGTTGTTGCGCTTGGAGGAAGCCTTCGACGAAACAAGGAAAGCTGGTACACCCCTTGCAGATGAGTTGAAAACCGCAATCCTTTTGCGCTGCATCTCTGGCTCTCTGAAGACCCACCTGAACCTTAACATGAAGGATGGCACAAAATACCTTGAAGTTCGTGAAGAAGTTCTCAGGTGGGACCGAGCTCAACAGAAGTGGAATGGTGTTTCTCCAGTTGTGGAGGAAAGTCATGAGGCAGTGGCGATGGAAATAGATAGAGTTGAAGGAAAAGGCAAAGGTGGCAAGAAGGGAAAAGGAAAGAACAAAGGTGGAGCCAAAGGCAAAACCAAGACAAAAGGAAAAGACAAAGGCGACAATCAGAAAGGTGGCAAAAGCGGCAAAGGCAAGTCATCAAGTTTTCAGGGCAAAGGAAAGGGCGGAAAGGCTTCAGACAAGCCTTGCTATGTATGCGGTAGAGTTGGACACTTTGCAAAGGACTGCTGGCATGGTGGAGTGCGCAATGTGGCATCAAGTGTGGCTTCAGGTTCGACACCATCAGACTGGACCCATCTTACAAGCGTGTCACAACAGGGACAAGCACAGCAACAAAATGCGCAGCAGACACCAGTTGCGCCACAGCAGCCTGCAAATCAGTCGAGCTCTCAGTACCGCGTTGCACGTGTTTCAGAGAATTCACAGTTTCACGAAGGAGGAGATCACGATCAGTTCGTTTTTGATCTCAGACAAAATAGCCCCAAAGGAGGCAATGTGCGTGCAATCCAATTTTTCATTGGAGATACAGATACCCAACATGAGGAGTTTGAGGTTTCCCAAATCAGAGCCATAGCAGAGGAGATTCCGGATGGAGAAGAACTTTGTCCAATTCTTTTGGACTCAGGCGCAGATTCAGCTGTTTTCCCAGCAAGGTTTGGCAATGCTGGGAGCCCTTCACAGTGCGAAGCTCTGAGATTGCATGATGCTCAGGGAGTTCAAATCCCAGTTTCAGACATGAGAGATGTTGAAATACAGTTGGTGGATCAGACTGGAAGAATCGTCATGCTGAAGGAACGAGTTGCCATCAGCAGCCATGTCAACCAACCAATCTTGTGTTTTGGAAAGATGTTGCAATGTGGATGGGGTATTCAAGCCGAAGAGCAAGTCCTCACTCACAGCACTGGACTTAAGATTCCCATTGAGTTGCAGAATCAGAGCGTTACTGTGAAAGGATGGATCAGAGTTTTGACAGCAGTTGGACAGACGGATGATGTCATGTCTTCATATGGTGTGCATGCAGTTAGAGCTGAAGTTACCGATGATTTGCGTCTAGGTCCTCATGGCTGGAATCTTGACAGGTTTGATTTGGGTGTTGGGAGGCACTACTCCGACAAGTTCCAGGACCCCACTTTGGCCAGGCCAAGCATGAGTGGACGAAAGTTTCGAACAACCTTGTTGCGTGATGCAGGTGAGTGGTATGTGCTAGAGCTTTGTGAACCACTTGAAACGTTGATTGACCCTTCTGCAGAGATCTATGGATATGAAGGCAGTCGGGACCTTATCACAATAATCACAGATGGAGAGAAAGATCCTTTGGTCATGGGTTTCAAGCTTGCATCAGATGAGCCACTTGTTCCTGCAGAAAGAAATGAACATGCAATGGGTGAGATTGATGTTGCTCCTGAAGATGAAATTGTAGGAGTGGACATTGATGGAAACGTTGATGCGCAAGGAGCAGAGATCACACCGCAAGGTCGTTTGGTTGTTGTGCCGAGCCCCACCGACAAGGTGATGGTTGATGGTGTGGAACTTACAGCAGAATCTTCACTGCAAGCGTTGCGAACAGCTTTGGGTAGCAAAGGTCTGAGCACTTCAGGGGCAAAACAGAAATGTTTCAAAAGACTTTTGGAGTTTCAGAAGAAGACTGAGCTTGAGATCATTCAGTCCGCAATTGCCAAATCTGAACAGGATCTCAGCCGTGAACCCCGTGCACAGCCTTTGCAGAATCCTCCAGATCAAGCAGCTCAGGACAAACACAATCTTACGCATATGCCATACCAAGCATGGTGCCCAGCATGTGTCAGCTTCAGAGCACGTGCAGATGCTCACAGAAACACTGGAGTTGCAAGAAGTGGAAGCACACCCACAATCAGTTTTGACTTCTGCTATCTGAAGAGTGTGCCAGAAGGTTCAGACCCGAAGGAGATCACTGCAATCACCAGTCTCATCATGACTGATTCGATGACAGGTTACAGTCATGCAACACCTGTCAGGAGCAAGAATCAATATCAGTTGATGGTGCAGGAGATTTTGACATTCTGCCAATTGATGGGACATACAACAGTGACACTTCGGTGTGACAATGAGCCTGTGCTGGTTCAGGTTTTGCGCATGGCAGTGAATGCCAGGCTGAGCATGGGATTGCCAACCAGAGCTTCAACGCCGATGGCTTACTCCCATTCGAACTCCTTGGTGGAGAATGTGGTTGGACGTGCAAGAGCGCTGGCAGGAAGCTTGATGTTTGCTTTGAGTGAGAAAGTGGGTGTTACATTTTCAAGCAACAGTGCATGGTGGTCATGGGCTCTCAGGCATGCATGTTGGATTTTGAATCGATTCAGCACTATGAGGGCTGTGACACCATTTGAGCTGGCGTATGGACGTGAATATACAGGTGCACTTTGCGAGTTTGGTGAACCAATTTTTGGATACCACAGGACAGCTGCCAAATCCTCAGCAAGATGGAAGAGAGCAATCTTCCTGGGCAAGATCGATCCCCAGGACTCATACCTTCTGTATGATGGCAGCAATTTGGTACTCACACGAAGTGTACGAAGGATATCAACATCCTGGAAAGGACACCTTGCTTTCTACATGAATTTCACGTGCTGGAGTTGGAATTACAAACCAGGTTTTGGTGGGAGAGTTGTTCCAACAAAGGAGCAGCGTGCTGCAGTTGGAGCCAATTTCAATCAGCCTGAAGGCCAAATTGAGCCATCTGCTTTCTTCGACGAGGAAGCAGAACAAGTTCGTCAGAAGTTCCTTGAGGAACAGAAAGAAGAGGAAGAGGCTGGTGAAATGGCACTTCATGACAAGCCTGCAGTTGGGAACCTGGAAGTGGAGCAGAAACAAACAGCAGTGACGTTTGGAGAGACGGTTGTTGTGGATGATGATGAGCAACCGCGAACTCCCCCAATGGACATGCAGGAGGAGAAGCGATCCTTTTTCCAGGGTCAACCTGCAGTGCCCTCTACAGCTGCAACCTCTTCAGCCGCAGCATCTTCTGCAATGCCTTCAAGTGGATTGGATGTGCCTACAACTCCAAGAACAGCTCCAACAACAAGGATGCATGGAACTGGAACTGAGGAGGAGCAACAATCAAAGAAGGCTCGTGTAGAGGATGTGAAAAGACAAAGGATTGAGAGAATTGTGGCTGAGCATGAGAAAGCAGTGAGAGCGGTGAAAGTTTCAGAGAATGAAGTCTTCCACACCATGGATGATTATGAAGCAGACTTGAGGTTGGATGATCACAGCGATACAGACGTTTGGGCTGGAGAAGATGAAATCACTGTCTCTGGTATGCCAAAGGCATTGTGGTGCGACGATGACACCAGCAAGCGCCCAGCTGAACCAGAACAATGGGTGGATCAGCTTGCCAACCAAGTTGAACTTCAAAGGTTGTGCTCGATGGGCGTTCTTGCCAGGGCAGAGGATACAATACAGCTCACAGCTGAAAGGCTCACCACAAAATTTGTGCATGATTGGAGGATCAAAAGCTGCGTGGATGAGGATGGATTGGAGAGAAAGCAATGGCTGAGGCGATCACGCCTTGTTGCACGTGAGTACGCATTCTTGGAGAGGCGTACTGATACATACAGCCCTGCAACCTCCACGCACATCCTCAACCTTTTGCCATTGATGTACCTGCAGAAGTGCGGAGAAAAGGATGCCGAAATACAGGCTGACAGCAAAGAAGTGACACTTGCGTGTTTGGATGTGAAGGACGCATTTCTGATGGTGCCTCAAGACAAGCCAGTGAAGATCAAAGTTGGACAGGAGGAGTTCATTGTGAAAAGAAATCTTCCAGGACAACGTATGGGAGCAAAGAACTGGTATCTGTTCTTGAGGGACTTCATGGAGAAGAAGCTGCAGTGCAACTTTTGCATTGAGCAGCCGTGCTTGGCGAAGGGACCCTATGGAGTTTTTATGCTGCATGTGGACGACATTCTCTTTTGTGGTCATGCAGATTGGTGGAGGAACGTTGTGGTGCCCGAGTTCCAGAAAGATTTTACAATCAGTGGGGATGAGCTGGCAGGAGTTGGATCTTCCATTTCATTCCTGAAAAGAAAGATTTTGAAGACAGAGAAGGGACTTGCTTTGATCCCAGGGACGAACGCAGAGAAGGTGGTCAAAGCCTATGAGGACCACTTTGGAAAGGTGAGAATCCAAACAGTTCCCTGCGATCAATCAATGCAAGCTGAAGATCTGACAGATGAATTGTCAGCCAGAGACTCCTACGCCTACAGATCGGTGGTTGGGATTTGCCTTTACCTGGCACGGGACAGACCGGATTTGCTGTTCCCTGTCAAGGAGCTCAGCGGATTCATGAGCAAGCCAACTCATGGGTCTCTCCAAAAGCTGAGGAAATTGATTGGCTACCTGAAGGGCACAAGTGACTACTGTGTCGTTTTGGAGCCACCATTGCCAGGCCAAGGGAAGTGGAGATCAGCAGAGAAGTTCTGGGTGCTTGAAAGTTTTACAGATGCAGACTGGTCGTCAAACCAGAGGCACCGCCGTTCCACAAGCTGCGGAATACACCTGGTATGCGGTGCATTTGCATATGGTTCCTCCAGAACCCAGAAGGTGATCTCCCTGAGCTCCTGTGAGAGCGAGCTTCATGCAATGGTGAGTACGTTGTGCGACGGAATTTTCTTACGTCGCTGCTTGGAGTTCCTCACAGGTGCTGTCATTGAGCATTACTTGTTCACAGACAGCAGCTCAGCAAAGCAACTAGCAAGCCGTCAGGGTGTTGGAAAGGTGAAACACATAGCTGGGAAGCTTTTGTGGATTCAAGATGCAGTGGCACAGCAACAAGTGTCATTAGTGCAAGTGCCAACGCTTTGGAACCTGAGCGACATTGGTACTAAGCCTCTTGGAACCAAACGCCTGAGGCTACTGTTGCATGAGCTGGGAGTTTCAGTGGAAGAAGGAGATTGCATTGTGGGCCAGGCGGAGTATGAGGAACAATCTTCCCGACATGGTAGAGGACGAGAAGTAGCAATGCTGGCCAAAAGCATTGCTAGGATGTTGGTTGTTATGGGCCTTGGGCCAACGCCTGGTGCTGCAATGGAGATTGAATCCAACGAGCAATGCAGTTTGGCAGACAACGTGGTGATGAAATCAACTGGTCATGGCAATGAACTGTTTTGGATGATTTTGATCCTGGCTTTGATCGTTGCTGTATGGGCGATCTTTTTCTGGCGTTTGATGAAATGGCTGAAGCAAGTGGCAGAGGGACATGAACACCTTTGCTTGCAAGTGGCCGAGCTGGACACCTACGCTGGAGGAGTCAGGACTGACTGTGATCAAACGATTCGAAATTCAGAAAGATTGCGACAAAACATGATCAGGTTGGAAAATCAACAAGAAATGGTGTCAGATGGAATGGATTCTTTGCACTATGCCGTGGTTGAGATGGGAGGATATGTAAGGCATTCAGATCTTACTGCACAGCAGAGGAGCCACATGTACATGCAGGAGCGAGGTAACATGGTGGCTGCAAACGCAATGGGCCAGCAGAGGTACCTTCAAGTTGTTAGACAGCAAAGCCGAGGTTTTGCAGTTGGAGAAGACACTGATATGGAAGTGAACGAAGAAGGTGAATCCGAAATGGACCCAGATGCAATGGACCCAACTGTTGGTGCAGAATCTGAAGGACCATGGACTCCTCTCATCACGATGTTCAGAGGAGAAATCAATACAGCACTGAGCATGGAGAACTTCCGAGATGCTAGCGAGCTTCAGAGGATTGTCCTCATCATTCTGGACAATTTGAACACTGGAAATTTCAGAGTCAGCAGCTCTCGGAATGCAATCCTCAATGAGATCTCCAACAGGTTGATGTCTCTGATGCCAAGGACAAGAGCATGGAATTCTTCAGTAGCAGACCGCTACAACGGATATGCAATCACTGTACGACAATTGATGGTCGTGGAAGATGGAACATGACTTGCGTATGTTGGAAAATCAAGGATGAAATTTGGAAAGAATGAAGTGATGAAGAAGGGAAAGAGAAAAGGGGAATGCAGCCAACTCCCCTAGACCATAATGGCTGCTAATTCAGTAGGTTCTGTTTAGTTTTCACCAAGTGACAATTAATTGAACCGCGAGTTGAAACTGCACGCTTCAAAGGAGGAGTGCGATTGGTTGAGCACAGCACTCATGCCCAGTTTATCACCATGGAAACCATGGATGACACGTACAAATCTAAAGTGTAACAGGACTTCCTTTCACGTCACATGACACGTGAGAGTGCATACATGTCGAGGCCCTGAGGTTCAAGAAAAGGTGCGACAGCCCTTTGATTTCACGTTGAACCTTTGCACATTTGGGTTTTCTGTACAAGTGCGGGGATATATTTGTATATAGCTGATGCATGCTTGTTGGTTGATGATGGGGGTTAGTGACCCACTTGGCTTATCGGGATGATGACGTGACCCATGAACATGGAACCCCCCAGCCAACCACTCAAACGCCGCGAGTTGGAGCCTCACATTGCTCGCCTGGGTTGGAACTTGGAGATGGTCAGGGCAGACGTGGACATGGCCACAATCTCAGCGACCACCGCATCTGAGTGCTGTTTTTTTGCCATGCGGTGAACCACTTATGTAGCCGTAGTTTATTTAACTTCTTGTGCGGTTTTCTTGCCATTTTGAATCCAACCAGGGGCATGGCAATTCAGCCCAGCAAATGCCTGCCAAATCAAGCAATCCTGATGGTGTTTCAGACAGTTGGGAATTGAACGTGTTGACCATTCCCTTCACCCTTTTGCAACCATTTTGAAGCAAGGTAGTGTTGTATAGTTGTGTTGGCTGGGAAGGTTGTGTGCTACAGGCCAATGGCTTGGTGACTCACAAACTATGATTCCGGCCATCACTTTCCTGGTTTTAGAGGGGCCTACCTACCATCTATGGTAAACCGCTTCAAACGAGTAGTGACTTGGCATACCATGTTTGACTACCAGAGGACTATTGAGTAGCCACTACTCTTTGATAAACTACTCAGTAGTCTTCTGGTAGTCAAACATGGCAAGTGAAAGTTTACCACTTCAAGACAAAGATTCACCAATTTTTCTATTAAAACCCATTTGTACGGGATTTCTCAGCTAGTCATTTTTGATTACAGGAGGGCCTTTGCTGGAAACAAGCGTGGCTGAGATCATTTTGAATGGCCTTCCACCTGTTGCTCCTCCGCCCTTCCGACCTCCGCCCGGTCTCTGAGAGCGCGTCAATCGGCCATGTGGCGGGCGGCGTTTCACCCCAATGTGTGACCTTCGAACACACCACTTTCAAGAGTCTGACCATGAAAAAGAGATTGGTGATTTGGCAGCCGGGAAACCCATGTAATTTCAGCTCCGGGATGAGCAGCTGAAACATGGGTTTCAGAGTGCGCCGTTTCTTTTATCGTTTCGTTCCAACAGTTTGGCTTGTCTGGCCAGGGAAATAACATGTTGTAGCAGTTATTCGTGAACCTACGCAGTGTTTTGCTACCTGGTTTTTTGTTGATAAAATCGATTTGACATTTCCTACCACTACAAACAACCTCGCGGGAGTGAACTATTTGGATCATCCATGAAACCAATGAGTCATTGGCACCGGTGGTAAAGATGTTGCAGTGACACCGAATATGCCAGGTGCATGTTTTTTTTCGTCATGTTCCAATTGAATGGAGGTTTCCTGGAATGGGGGGGCACTTCCAAATCATCCAGGTTATGAAACCATTTTATTATTACACTTTATGGTGGCTTGGGGTGCACCTTTTTAGAGAACCACCGAACTTCATTGACACCTCAACACAACATCAAAGCATACCATCATCACATGCCCTTCATTCCAACTCCCCCAGGTGAATTCTCGTTTTACTACCGTTTTATTTCATGGTGCTCCATTTTTGTTGTTGGAAACAATGTTTTTTTTTGGTTGGTTACATGCGACACCTGTTTTTTTTGGTGAATTTGATCATTTTGTTTGAGGCCCAGATGTGTTCGTGCAATCACAGTTTTGGTTAAGACCAAAATGTTGGTGAAATGCCAACGCAATGGCGTTTTGAAATTTGCCCTGAAATCGGCTCACATCGGACAGCCGTGTAATGTAGGAGCGCAATGGCGGCGTTGTATTTGCACGCCTCGACCTTAGCAGGGAGTGACTGCGGATTACTTAATTACGATTTGTGTTGTGCAGCATCGTTCCTGATATTCCTGAATTATCCCATTAAACGGGTGGTATCCTTACCAACCAATTACGTTTGGTGAACCATGGTGAACCAGCCGTCCATTGGTTCAATCTTCGGTCCCAAGGCCGCCCTCGTGGTATTGGCCCATGCGTTGGGTACGAGCCTCACACTTGGAGGGTCATCCCAGTGGGCGAATTGGGAATATTGAAGCCGGACACCCCATACTTAGGGTTTCTTTAGTGTTTCTTTAGGGTTTCTTTAGTGTTTCTTTAGGGTTTCTTTAGTGTTTCTTTAGGGTTTCTTTAGTGTTTCTTTAGGGTTTCTTTAGTGTTTACTTTGTTTCTTAGTGTTTCTTTAGTTTTATTTAATTCCAAAGTTCCTTGAGATTTTCCCAAATCCAACCGGGCTCCGGGACTTGGTCACTTAAGAACTGATCCTGCATGCTTGTCCAGTGATTCCTATGCGGTGTGGTCAATTTGTGTCACTTAAAATTGTTTCCCCGAACGCATCTCCAGCAACAGTGGTTTTTCGGTGGTGAATTTGTGAATTTTTGGGTCCAAAAAAGAGGGGTTCAACTCCAAAATAGATGGAACAGATGAACACCTGAAAAAAGGGGGGCAATCATCATGAAACATACGGAGGTTTCCAAAATTAATGGGAAAACGAATGGTTTGGAGCAGCCATATTTCAGGAAACGTCCATATATCTACGAACGCATGCGTTGTCTTCTTTGGGAACATGTGGGGATGGGTCAAAACCAATAGTACCCCTGTAGTTCACATCAAAATAGCTGGGATTTATGGATGTTCATCCCCCTAAAAATGGTATTAATAGGTATTGATCCATACCCATGTCGGACAGGTCATTTGAAAAGTCTACTGACCCGAGCGAAGCCGCTCAGGCGATGTAACTCTGCCCGAGGCCTCTGTGACCTGAATTTAGCAGAGATGGGGTTGCCGGGGTTGCCCGTTCCCCCCCCAAAAATATCTAGGGATTTATCCACAGTTGAAGATGAGGATAGTTTGGGAGTTTGGAAGTGAACCATGTACCAACGACCCATTTTTTTGACCCGTTTCTATTTTTATTTTTATGCATCCTTTTTTCAAGGAAAAGGAATCCAACTGGACGGGAGGTGGGCTTTGATGCATCCCCAGACAGCCTGGAGATTTCTTGAAATGGGGGTACCACCAACATAGTTTACATCATTATAACTTGGTGATGGATCGGATTGCTGTACCCAATTTAAGGAAATATGACATTATATTTATGTAGGGCCTGTAGGAATTTTGGAGATAGAACCATAGAACAAGGACAAAATGCAGTAAAAATTTCACAAAAAACGGGAGGTTCTTTGAATTTCCCATGTATTTCCCCGCAAATATGATACCCTCTGGCAAACTAACATAACTATGGAAAATCACCATTTATATATATATATATACATACTCTATCTACTGGACGTATTTTCATGGCACCCATATTTTCGCAAATTTCGTATCTTCTCGCTGCCAGGCGGTCACAGAGGCCGTACGCGGTGCGCAGGAGGCCCGGTTCGTTTTGTACCGAACTGGTGGTGCCCCAGTGAGGCAAATCGCTTAGTTGCTTTATAACTCCAATAACTAAGGTTTATGATAGATTCATAGATATATTGAACTAGTTATAGTTATATATTATAGTTTTGAAACCAACTTATAACTGGAGGGGCACCAGCTTGTACAGAGGTAAATGTCTTATTTTGGGGATTTTGTTTCCATCACCTGCAAAAGCATTTGTTGGAGATTATATTTTCTGTACGTTTTTGTTAGGTGATGTGGAAAATTGGGACGTTTATGAACTTCTGTTATAGTTCCAGTTGTTAAAGATAATAGTATAATAGGGACTGTAAACCCACCAGACATTGGTGGACTATAAACCGACTTAAAATCTGTTGTTCATGATAAATTGAGGTATTTTTTCGTGGTTGAACTGTTGAACGGTTTTTCACCAGCCAAGACATTTTAAAATGGTGGAGAAAGGATGATGCCAGGACGATGAAAGTGGGGAACTAGTCCTGCAAATATGGACCAATTCACCCTGGTACCATCTGGTATAGCCCACTGCCATGGTTTCAATACCCCATTTCCCCATGATTTTCCACTTGGAAGGGTTTATTAGTTTGCATGCCCAAATGAACAGATAGAATAGATTAGAATAGTCTATTTGGACGCGAACAGCTAACCATGTTCTGGGTGGCTCTGATTGGGTGGTGACTCATCAGTCAGTGGCTTCTTAGCCCAGTTCTAACTGAATTGGGGTGAGCTAAGCCACTTCCTGGGATAATCTCTCCCGGCAGGATTTTCCCAGGACTTTGGTGTAGTTACAGCTGGAAGCTATATTTACCTTCGGTCATACGATTAACTTAGGAACTGAACATTTGTCCAACGTGAATCAAGTGAACACCACACCACGACATTGCTGGGCTAGCCATATATAAATGTGCCGATTTAGTGATCAACAAACTGATTGAATATATAATTTTTGATCATGTTTGATGGATATGTCATGAGAAATCATGAAAAACATGATGAATCATGATGAATCCAGAATTTGTCATAACTGAGGTCATCACCAATCCTGTCGAATCTGGTCCAGCTTTGACAGGTTCAATCCCAATTTTTGCTCCAACTGCAGGCCGCTGGTGCTGCCAATCTGGATGCCGACCGCGCGCAGCGGTCCATAGGTGCGAAGCCATTTTTTGGTCAGTGAGAGATGGGGAGTGAGGTAAACCAAAAACATCTTTGGGAGCGGGGTATTACTAAGTAAATGCTTCATTATATATAAACATGTATGGTAAAGTAACTGAATATAATGGTATATCAAATATTTACCATACATTTTTATATATACTCCCAACTCAAGCCAAGTCGTATACTCCTATGGTAAATATGCTGATATTTTTTGGGTTGAGCAATGTTTCACAAAAAATGGGAGCATACTTTGGGAGTGAGTTGTTGGATATGAAGACCTCACCATTTTAACATAGTGGGAGTTGAGGTTATACTGGTGACATTGTATTATGTTATACTTGGGGATTGGTTGTCAGATGAGGATGAAAAAAATCCCAAACCATTTGATGGGGGGATACAATAGTCAACAAATATGGGGATACAACATGATTGGGGGATACAACAATATCATTGATGGGGATACTATTGTTGATATCCCCATCAATGATATTGTTATACTTTTGACTATGATTGGGGGATACAACATGGGGATAGGGATCAATAGCCAACAATATCATTCGAGTCTCCATGGGATGGAATGGACCATTTTGAAGATTGAAAGCCAGACTGTGACGACGATCCACCATGACTTAAGAAACCTTCATTTTTGTTATTTTTTTTCTGAGTGAGGTTTGAAAACCCGACCACTCGGGTTTTCACTTAGCTTCACTATGAGTTCTCTATGGAGTCAGTTCAGCTTGTGACAAACCTTGGAAGCGCAGTGCTGGAATCCTTTTTGAATATGTTTGCTGTCCCACTTCCAAAGAACTTTTCTTAGGGTGTCTAAGCTTATAGGACCACCCAAAAAGATTAACAAGGCATTTTTTGAGGGTTACTATGGCTATGTTCCAGCCTAGCTATGCGGGTTTGTCTGAAAATAGTATACCCCCTAGATCTGCTGCTTAATCTTTTCCAATTAAAATTGTAATGTTGGGTGCATCCTTTTGTTTTCAGACATACCCAAACATCATATCAATTTGGTTAGATATATCCGAATATATCCCATATTCTATCCATATTCTATCCATATTCTATCCATGTTCTATCCCCGGTACTAAACATTCCAAACATTTCACACCCTGATTGGACCGACCATGGATTGGGACCTTTCCGGGATGGTTTTTGGATTTTCGGCTGAGTCGTGCGCCGAGTCGACCGAACCGTGGAATGGTGGTTGGTAAGGGAAATTGTTCCCCTTCTTTGGCCTTTCAGGTTAGTGAATTGTGATAATTTATCCAGATAATAATGGGGTAATGCTGGCTTGTTTTTCATGGCATTTCATGGCATAATCAGGGGAGAATCCTGGGGGTAATCTCAATTTTCCATACTGTTTGGAATTATCAAGGGATCATTAGTCATTGGCCACCAACAATCACTAGTAGGGGTTTACTCGCCAGCTCAAACAATGGGATACTGCAGATACCCCCACGCAAAACCTGGGATCGGAGGAATGAGACTTTTTAAACTATCCTTCACCAGCCGGCTTATCCATCACATTCCCATCATCTTTGCATCATATTCCCATATTTCCATAGTATTCCCATCATTTTGTTCTCATGGTGTTGCCATTCCATTCCCAATGGTCATGAATTTCCCATGGATTTTCCCATGATATTTTGAGTTGCGCCTGGGTCAAATTATAGCGACACTGCATCGCTGCAACATCGCTGGATGTCATTGGGAATGTTTCCGGGGTTTACATCCCCATGACCGTCAAATCCAGGTCAGTGACATATAATCATCGATAAATATCCCCAAAGAATCCCAGAGGTTTCCGGTTTCAAGGAGGGGGTACCTCCAGTTTTTTTTATCCATTTTTTCTTGGGATCAAACAGAAACCATCCAGTCGAATCGCCAGGGCGTGTCGAGGTGCTGAGCAAGTCCTTACCGGATTTGTCCACCAAGGTGACGACCGGTGTGGGGATGAGCCATAAATGATGTGCCCCCCAGTGATGTGAACGATGGTTTAGTTTCACCCCATGAATACTATAGTGATAGGTACCATAAACCATAGTTAGTTAACCATAATTATTGTTTTTGTGGCTTTATAAACCAACCATAAACCATAGTTACAACTCGTGGGGCCCCCAAACGTGATGTGAACGATGGTTTAGTTTCACCCCATGAATACTATAGTGATAGGTACCATAAACCATAGTTAGTTAACCATAATTATTGTTTTTGTGGCTTTATAAACCAACCATAAACCATAGTTACAACTCGTGGGGCCCCCAAACGTGATGTGAACGATGGTTTAGTTTCACCCCATGAATACTGTAGTGATAGGTACCATAAACCATAGTTAGTTAACCATAATTATTGTTTTTGTGGCTTTATAAACCAACCATAAACCATAGTTACAACTCGTGGGGCCCCCAAACGTGATGTGAACGATGGTTTAGTTTCACCCCATGAATACTATAGTGATAGGTACCACAAACCATAGTTAGTTAACCATAATTATTGTTTTTGTGGCTTTATAAACCAACCATAAACCATAGTTACAACTCGTGGGGCCCCCAAACGTGATGTGAACGATGGTTTAGTTTTACCCCATGAATACTAGTTCGTTATTTGCGTTTCATAAACCATAGTGACATTGGAGTTAAGTGCACCAACTGAACGCTATCATTTGGGGGCCCCACTTTGTACCATCTGGTTATGACTAACAGTTCGCCATGGAACATCCCCAAAATAAAGGGAGGTTTTGTCATGGGAAAATGATCTATTTCGATTAGGGCCATGGCTTCCATGGCTATGTTAGTCATAACCAGGTCGGGCATCTATGGTTTTTTTTCTACCATAAACCATAGAATTCAGTCACTGATGTTCGGCGATGGCTAACTAACGAACGGGGGCACCATCCTGTGGGACCCAATCAACTCTTCTTCTGCTACTTCACCCTGCTTACTTCACTCTACTTCACTCTGCTTTACTCGGCTTCATTTATTCTACTCTACTCTCCTCTCCTCTCCTCTAGCCTAGTCTACCCTATTCTACTCTACGCTGCTCTATACTGCTCTACACTCTCCTACTACTCTACTCTACACTACTCTGCTCTGCTCTCCTTTCCTCTAATCTAATTAGTCTAGTCTAGTCTACTCTAGACGGCTCTACTCTAAGGCAACTGGACTTAAGACTTCTCTACTTCAGAACCAACCAGCTGGACTTTCGACTGCTATTGCTGCTGTCCACCATCCTAACTCGGAGTTTCTCTACACAATTTCCTTTGGCAAATGGTTTGCAACCCCAGTTACTAACCAGGTACTAAGTGGGGTGATTCTCCAAGTATACACCAATAGCCAATTGAAGGTGGAAAATGACTATTTATCCACTGGATATGGGACGATATTGGGAGCACCCCTTTTTCAGACAAACCACGAATACCCCCAATATATTGGGGTGATTTCAATAGGGTTTTCTTTGGCGATTGACCTTTGTTTTTTTCGGGATTTACAGCAAACATGGGATTTTTGTCGGCATTGAAAGATGGGAGAAAACAAAAAAGGGATTTCACCATCGAGAATGATGGGATGGTTGGGGGAAAATTCCACTACTCTCATCAAATTTTAGAGAATTATAACCACTTCCAAGAGAGATACCCTCTGGTAGACATACAAAAAACTGTAGAACATCACCATTTTATAGCTGGGTAAATCCACTATTTCGATTAGGGCCATTTTCTATGTCGCAAACTGTAAACGTTTACCAGATATACCCTCCAGTAATCACAGATGATTTTTCGAGCAAGAAACAACTCCATTTTTCCACAAGATCTTCCAGCCACGTTTGATGACACTGGAAGGCAATGGGGATATAAGTAATATAACCATTCAACGGATGTACTGGGATATAGAAACACTTCAATAGGATGAAACCTAGCATTTTGTGGGATTGTTGGGATATGAATCATGTGTTGTCAGTGTTGTCATCAATGGATGTGTTGAAATCGCAGGGTTTTATTGGTGGAGATTTCTGGTGATTTTGGAAAATCAATGGGTTACCCTCTGGTAAACTAACATAACTATGGAAAATCACCATTTTCAATGGGAAAATCCACTATAAATGGTCATTTTCAATAGCTATGTAACAAATTACCAGAGGGTAATTTTTTTCTTTTTCGCCCATGTGAAATTGAGAGGTGGGGTAATGAGACAAAAACCATGATCCACGAAACAAAAATCATGTCCTATCCATGTCATGTCCTGAATACTTTGAACGCTGTTTGCCGATCAATGCTGAGGCTGGGGTTCTGATTCTATGGAGTACTTGACACAGGAATTTCTAGCACAAGATTTCAATTTGAACCGCAGAGAGACACCATCTCCTGTTGGGAAAATCATGTTGGAAAATCCGAAATCCAACTCCGAAATCTCCGCTAAATTGGAGCAGCTAACGTCAACTCTCCCATTTTGAACTGTCAATGGGACTGCCATAGGTGGTTTCAACATTCCAGGATGGGACTGTCACTGCTTGCCTGCATGGGACTGTATACAGATTCTGTATGTGGAAGATTGTGGAACACGCAGACTCATCTCTTGTAATCAAATATGGCAGTGAAATGCCACCCTTTTTTTGAATAGGAAAATCATCTAAACATGAACCAATTAATATGTATATATATATATACATATGCACACACTCCTGTTGATTGATCGTTGGGATTTACTACCTGGTTTAACCAGGGGATTATGATCATCCATGGAATCCCGTTTCCAAGTACGAAAAATACTGGGTGTCAAAGGGTTTTGAACACCTCTCATCTACAAAGTGGGGCCCCCAAATGATAGCTAAGTTGGTGCACATAACTCCAATAACTATGGTTTATGAAACGCAAATAGCTATAGTTAATGGGGTTTATAAACCAAATTAACACTGGGGGGGCCCACATTGTATGAGTCTATGAATGGACTTAAAATGGCGTCAGAATCCATTACCAGATTACATTGCCATGGGGCAACAAGCGATTGAAGATGTTCCATTAATCGAAGCGGGGATATAGCCCATTTATATGTCACTGGGGTATTTGATATGCTTATTGCCCACAAAAACTACTGGGTTCGGCACCCCCATTACCCCCAATCATATTGGCTATATACCTCTGCCTTACAGCAATTCTTCATGGTTAATACCCCCACTGTAACCCCAAGTATAGCTATTTACAGCAATATTCCAGGATACCTAATATTCTAGAATATTCGCACGTTGTTTGTTGGGTACATCTCGATTTTTCCATGGTTCCACCCCACATTTTCTTCGTTCAACCGCCATTTTTGATGGCAATTCCTACATCAAAAATCCATCGTCCAGGCAGAGGACGCGGAAAAAAGAGCGGAAGCGCCTGGAAGCGCAGACATCTGGAGCCATTGAAGCCATGGAACCCAAAAAAATGTGGTGATCAATAGATATTCTCAATGATGAATAGCTACTGTAAATTGATTAAGAGTGACTTCATAGTGTTTGTTTTTGTAAGTCACCATTTATAGAAGTTCTAAAGATTGCAATCCCAGTGATTTGTGGTTTAAACATCGATGAATTGAAGATGTGGATATAGGAAAATGATGGGATTAGGGTGAAGGGACATCTCATGTCAATGGATTGGTTGAAGGGAACATCTTCACCGGAACCATGGAACTTACAGCCCCCAAAAAAAGAGGTTCTTGCAGATTTTTACAGTGAATCAATTCTGCGACCAAATCGAATCGGAGGAGTGGATGATTGGGTTTACTACTTGGGGGTGTATCTTACCTAGCAGTTATACTCGCAGTTATACATAGAATATCCCGAAGGTGTGTATGAGCACAGGTTGTAAACCACCTACGATTCGTGGGGTGCACATCTAAGTACATTGCTTCAAAGCATTTGGGTGTGTCTGAAAATGTTGTGTACCCCATTTTCCCAATGGTTTTGCTGATCATTATCCCTATTAAATGGCTATAATTGGGAATATAAATTGGGATATATGATCATTACCCAAACTATAATTGGGAATATAAATTGGGAATATCCCAATAATCATTATGATCATTACCCATTAATTGGGAATATACCCTATTTTCAGACAAACCCATTTTCTCGCAATAAGTCATTGGCCTGTCACAACCCACTTCCGGCCAAGTTTGCCATATCCACGGGCGCCGATGGGTAAATGTCATGGTCCACGACATTTCGAATGACTCAGAGGTCCAGTATTTTGAAGAGGCTTTCCTTGTACCCTCTGGTAAACATACAAAAAACTATGGAAAATCACATTACTTAATGGGAAAATCCACTATAAATTGCCATTTTCAATAGCTATGTTGGTTTACCAGAGGGCATCTCATATTACCATCTACATCGCCCCTTTTGACACAGCTTACATGTCCTGGCATCTTTTTCTGGGTATACCACCCATTACATCTCCATTAAAACACCGCGAAGACATCATTAAAAAGGTGGTTTCTATATTCAATTTCATTGTGTCACAATCATCAACATCTCCAAAAAATCTATCCCCATACATCAACAACTAAGACCTCCGGTAAAGTAGGATAGCTAGTGAACCGGGCCATTGATAGTTGATTTACCTAGTAAAAACTAAGACACCATTTGACTGCCATTTTCGTTTGGCCTAGCGGCTAGATCACCATCAAACTCGCCATTTCAGGGGCCTGAAAGAAGCGGAAGCCGCACAGAAACAGGCTGAGGTCGCGGCCAAAGCCATGTCATGGTCAATGGCCGTGGATTGAACTTCTAAAAATAGGGATTTAATCAGATTTCATGGGATTTCATGGGATTTCATGGGATTTAATCAGATATAAATCGGATATAATGCTATTGGCCTGGATCATTTTTCATGGAAATCATGGGATTTCATCAAATGATGGGATTCCATGGGATGTGCCTTGGGATTCAACCCACAGAAATGGTGCCATCTACAACTGGGTAAATTTGATCTGTTCTCCCGAAGCCTCCCGAAGCCTGGTTCATCATGGTTTATTTATGGGAAATCAGCCCCTTTTTAATATTCTTGCTATTCAGATTAGTGAAATACTATCATTTACAGTTTTTACCCAGATTAATGGGGACATGATGGGATTTCCAGCTATGATCAAAAAAGTTTGTTTATATAGCCATAGAAGGGGAATGGCAATTTTTTTCTCACTAACAGGGGTTAGTATATATCCATGTTAGGGATGAATATTACCCATCATTGTACCCATCATAAGTACTCGCTAATGGTTGGATGACCCCCTTGATGTCAAGTTGTCCGTTTTGGGGTTTGGGAGGATGAGGAGAAACTCGTAACATTCTATATCTCTACAATGTGGGGCCCCACAGTTGTAAGATGGTTTATAAACCCCATGAATACTATAGTTATAGGTACCATAAACCATAGCGACATTGGAGTTATAAGCCATGATTACTTAGTAATTGGTTAGTAACCATAGTTATACCTCATTTATACATGTCCCGCGGCTTAGGACTTCGGATTACATACCGGATTACCGTTGCCCACCGCCCGGGATCTGGGATCCGACCACTCAAGTGGTGGCAGCTGTTGATCCAGTGAGTTTTCACCATGGAAACTGGAAACTGTTCTCCATCTGGTCATTTGTTAACCGCTCTGCAAACTGGCAAATCATCATTTGTAAAATAATAGTAATCAAGTGCATATCATCATTTGTAATCAAGTGCATATCATCGGTAAATGATAATTTTTAATCATCAAGCAAACTATAAGCAATGGCTATACCACAGCTACAGTATCTTAATAGCTCCGGGGGTAAATCCTCAATAATAACTTCATTAGTATTCATCATTACTTAATCAGCATTGATAGATGATTTTCCCAGCGAACTAAACCTCCATGGCGAAACATGGGCATTTCTATGAACAATCCCATAAAGAATCCCATTAATTTCCCCGTGAAATCACCAGTAAATCACCATTAAGCCCATTAAATCACCATTAATCCCATTAAATCACCATTAAGCCGACATTAAGCCCATTAAATCACCATTAAGCCATTAAGCCGACATTAAGCCCATTAAATCACCATTAGATCACCCTGAACTTCCCATTTGTTGATCACCATTCGGCCATGGCATGGTCCAATGGTGTCGGATTCGAGCCACCAGGACTTGCTGAAGACTGTGGAAGAAACGCACCTTGGAAGACGCCTTTAGTCAATGGGAGATCTTCAGGATCCGATTCAATAGAGGTACGTAAACGTACCATATTTTTGGCCATATTTTGGAGGGATATTCCCTGAAATTTAGGCCTGAAAAATAGGCCTTATATAGGGTAGGTACATGTAGGTACCTCCAATTTAGGTTCCTGAAATGGCCAGTGATTTAGTCCTTGGTGATTTGAGATCTGTGTCGCCCGCGCCCGACCTGGCCTCGTTGATGAGTTTTAGTTAGCGATGGCTTATTTTTTAAAATGGGGACTCAACCATCAGTCACGATGGGTCATTTTGTGTGATAAATCATGATGGGTTAAATCCCATTAAATGGAAACTATCGGGAAAACTATAGGAACATGGTAATTTAACCAACAAACATGGTGATTTAATGGGATTTAACCATCATTAACCATCAATTGTAGAGTTTTATGAGGTTCTAAGTCTCAAAGATATGGATGATATAGTTGATAAATGGCCTGGTTGATTGGCCAAAAATTTGGACCTTTTTCCTACCTGGGGGCTATTGGGGATCATGAAAAAACCGAAAGTAGGGAAGCCGAAAAAAAAACAAGTAGTATAATGAGATGGGAAAACGGGGTACCCTCTGGTAATTTAACGTAGCTATTGAAAATTACCATAAATAGTGGATTTTCCCATAAAAAATGGTGATTTTCAATAGCTATGTTAGTTTACCAGAGGGTATGTTTGAATGGCCCTGCTTTTTTCAACTGGTCAACTGCCTCCAGGCTCACCGAAATGGAAATTTCCGAAGTGATGGGGGTACCCCGTATCATGATTATCTGATTGGTGGTTTCAACCATTTTTTATTTTCCATAATGGGATGTCATCCTTCCCATTGACGAACTCCATCATTTTTCAAGATGGTTATTGCACCACCAACCAGATAATTTACCCAGATCCATATATCTATAATTATCCCATTATTATCCCTATAAAACATTATAAAACCATATAAAACCATCTAATCATGATTATTATGATTATCATGATTCACCAACCAGTTCTCATGATTATCATGATTCATCAGCATTTTTGCATATCTTTCCCATGATTTTGTGGCCATTTCGTTGGGACACGGTAGCTGAGGTCCTATGCGGCGGCCAGCAAATCTGCCAGGACCGGTTGGGGCTCGGCGGATGCCGCGGCGCTTGGGGAATCAGTTTCTTTTTTTTTTGGGAAATTCTAACTAATAGATACTAATAGATGGTGTTGCCATGATTGTATCACTTTATATCAGTTTCTGGCAACAAAAATCTATGATATATCTTATGATCGTATCGCTTTATATCAGTTTCTCTCTTTTTTTGAGGGAACACACTTTTTTGGCAGCGATTTTCGGCCGTGTTTTCTGGATGCCGATGGAATCTCCGCGAAACTGCTGCGGTGAGGAAAGAGCTGAAGCGTCTGGAAACGGATGCAGAGAACCACTACAAGTCCTATCTCTCGGATATGAAGTTGGAAGCTCAGATTCCGGAACTGACTTTGGCAAAAAAGGATACTAAGGATACCTGAAATTGTGCGGGTGAAGCAATAGTTATTTCATCATTTTCCCAATATTTTTAATGGTCATTTTGAAGTAAGATCCCACTTGGAGGATCCTACGCATCGTAAGTCCCCATTCAGTGGGGGTATCCTACATATATATATACATATATATATGTATGTTGTGTGTATATATATATGTATAGGTATATATACATATATGTATATGTATATGTATATGTATATAAGTGAGTGAACTAACTATGGTTATTAACCAGCTACGATTTTTTTTGGATGATCCTCCAAGCAGTTTTGGTGATGCTTATCCTCTGGTAATGGAACATCACCATTACGAAGAGGTAAATCATCGAATGGTAATTACATTCCTCCTGGTAATGATGGTGATGGGCTTATCTCCTGGTAATGCAACAAAACCTCTGGTAATTACAAAATGGGCTCTTTTCTTAGGGTTTTGTTACATTACCGGGAGGTAACAGATTTAAATGAACTTGAATCTGTTTTGAAAGACAGAAAATTGCAGGGCTTCCGTTAGGGGAAGAATCGATCCGGCCAGATAGTCCACCGAAAGATTTTGGCGCTGATATATGGAGGGAGCAACAGACATGGCTGGTGCACTCAGTTTACTCCATGTCCTCAGACGACTGAGATAGAACAACTTTTTTTATTCGGTAGTTTGCTCCAGCACCAATTTTTAATACATAAATCAGCTCATGGAGCACTTGACGAGTTAGCTGGATACACAACCCGAACGATTGGCGTTGGCAGGTTAGCAGGTGTTTTGCAGCCAAATCCTTTCCACTGTGGTGGATTCCAATATGTGGAATACTTCATTTTAAATAACCTTGGCAAAACTTGGGCAGCACGTTGCTTTTGGTTGTGTTGCAAATTTGACCGTGGAAACTCTACCTTTGTAGTCCAATGGTTGTTGTAAAATCTGAAAATTCTCTCTGGCAAACACAGCTGGCAATTGAACATCAGGCTTCGTCGCATACCTTAAGTGCAAGAGAAATTACTTCCTGTAACATATCGATTAACACTCCTCAAGGCTGGCTTCAACCCCCTTTTTTGATGTGGGATTCACCCTGGCTGCCAGCAAGTTCCAGTCGACTGGGTCTATGGGGATTTTCTGATTCTTCGGTGTTTCACCTCTGGGGATAGACCCTGGGGGGATTCAATGCTATCTACCCTCTGGTACTTTGTTACATAGCTATTGAAGCCATGGCCCAGTCGAAATAGTTGATTTACCCAGCTATAAAATGGTGGATCTTTTTCCAGTTCGCAAAGTGTAAACGTTTACCAGAGGGTACCAGCAATGCTGTTCACCAGGGTACTTAATATGGTTCTCACCCATACCCAAGTGATCATTGGCCGTTTGAATAACACCCCACTGACTTCTCTTGAGCTCCTCATTTTTCAGGGTGATCTAGTGCAGGAAAATGCAAACTTGCGGGGTTTATGTATGCGGCATCCTCAATATTTTCTTACTACATGGAGACGGGTCAATACCAACAGCAAGATCCACATCAAGTAGATCCAAATATCGACAACTGGATCGAAACTGCTGACACGCAAAAATGGATGATCAATTTCATAATCATTTGGGTATGGATCAATACCTATTAATACCAGCTATTAGGGGAATGACCATCCATAAATCCCAGCTATTTTGATGTGAACAGAAGGGGTACTATTGGTTTTGACACACTGCCACATATAAACCCTCATTGTCCAACAAACGTTGGATGTTAACCTCATAACTATCGCATGTTTCCGTCCAAAGTTGGGAGTTTGTCCCTGCCATGAGTGGGTTTGGGCTGGAAGACCTGGATTCCTCCTTTTCAAAGATCGTTCTCAGGGTCAAACTCTTCGTTGGGGGGAACTTTTTATCCCATTAAACCACCAGAAAATCCCATGGAAAACTAGCATGAAAAAATTTGAATACCCAATAAACCTCCATAAATCCCATGAAAAACCTCCATAAAACCAATATGAATATCCCATGAAATCCCTCCATAAACCATGGAGCGCGAATTCTTCCGGAGGCTCTCCCGTGTGCCTCCAGTGGATCATGCTGCGCAGGTGGGGGACTTCTCCGGTTGGAAAGTTGTTGACATCCACGGCTTTACCATGCCTTTTTTTGTTAGGGTCAATGGATTGGTTTAAGGGAAAATTTACAGGAAACCATAGATTTTCCCATTAAGTATGGGGCTTTCCTGTAAATTTTCCCTTAATCCAATCCATTGTTGGGGGAGCCCATCTCCAAGATTTTTTCATGATGTATGGAGCTTAATGGGATATTTCATGGAGATGTATGGGGGATGTACCCTCTGGTAATGACTGTTGCAGTATGCTATTGAAGCCATGGCAACTTTGAACGGGAAAATCAATGAAAATCAACTATTTCGACTGGGCCATGGCTTCAATAGCTATTTTGACATAACCAGAGGGTAAAAACAAACAAACATAGTGACATAGGGATTTACCCTCTGGTTATTTAACACTTTGCGTCGAACATCACCATTTTTGAAATGGATCCCTCTGGTTCAAATAAACAAGGGATTGACCAACAAACATACAGTAGAGATTTACCAACAAGACAATGACATTTCACCAGCCAATGAGATTTCAAAGAATGAAGAGAAAATAGGAACTGCCAAGAAATCGGAGATTTCATGGGATTTATTTGGATTTATCCAACAAACACCTGACATTTTCGGCCACTTTCCAGGAGATTTTCGGATTATTTTAGCACCGTTGACGACCAAATTCCAGGTCGAAGAGCTGAAAAAAGCCGAGAAACCCTACGTCGATGCCGAGCAAAAGGCGGGCAGACGTTCGGCTCGGCCATGGAGGTTTCTTTGGGGGGAAGCTTTTTGAGAAATGGGTATGGGTCAATACCTATAGATACATTTTTCGTGGGATGAACATCCATAAATCCCAGCTATGACTTGGGGTTCACTAGGTACCAGGGTTTTGACCCATCCCCAAATGGGGATTTTTGGATGGGACCATCAGCAGTAAATGAGGACAACTTTGGGGATTTCTGTAGCCAAAATGGGGATTTTCCGCAAGCCGAATGGGCTTTTTTGATGGGAAAATGATGTGAGAAAATGATGTGACATGTGATGGGAAAATCAGATATAATTAGATATGAATATCATAGGATACAACTCATCAACAGATATTGGGATAAAAAATTGGAATGGAGATTTAAACCAGCTAGCGCAGTGGCACCCTGCAGCGGCATGTGAGAATCCCAATAGCTTTGCTATCTGGGGGAATTACAGAACAACACATTCATAGTATACAGACTATACCTATTCCAAATCCATATATGAAATTTGGGCTTGTCTGAATTTGGCAGCCTCTGGTAGTCAAACATGCCAATGGAAATCTTGAAATTATACCCTCTGGTTATTCAACATAGCCATGGAAAATGGCCCATTTATAGATGGTTTAAATACCTATTAAAAATGGTGATTTTTCCATGGCTATGTTAAATAACCAGATGGTAGATGATTTTGGCATTCAAACCTCAATGTGTAGGGGTTTCCCATTGCCACGTGAAAGATTACTGGGGGTTGGCCCAATGCCATATAGTCACCATCACACGAATACCAACCATAAAAGGGGTGTTTTTTTCCTGGTGTTTTGCGCCCAATTTTCATAAACCTCTGCCATTGGGGATGGTGACTCTGCCATTGGGTAAACACCACGTTGTTACTTTATGGTTTTTTTTGGCGGGTGTTATCCTCAAATCCTTTTGGACATGCAATGATTTCAGAACTCACACACTGAAACTGGCCACAGGTGGAAGCGACAGTGGAGTCTTACAACAGCTGAAAACTTAGCGTGTCATTTCTTTCTCGGGACCCAGCCATCGTTGAAGGAACACATTTCAACATCCCCACGAGTCGGGACGCGCAAAGTGAAGGTTACCCTCTGGCTATGTCAAAATAGCTATTGAAAATGGCCATTTATAGTTGATTTACCCATAAAAATGGTGATTCTCCATAGTTATGTTAGTTTACCAGAGGGTAAGTCAAGACCAGACCAACAAGTTGGTTTTGATTGTGATGATTCTTGGTGAAGTGCGTGGAATCTAACCCGCTTAGTTTATCAAAGTCATTTGGCTTTGATTTTCAGTCCTGCTTGTTTACGGGGGTCCACCCACAGCAAAGTGACGACTTGCACTGATATCAAATATTCATATTCAGAAAGATCGTGGGGGTGATTGGGCAATCACAATTATACACGCAACCTGTACAAAGAGTGAATTCTTTCAAGGGCCAATTGAAATTAAACTGGACCACCCGAAAAATAGTCCGTAATAACTTGAAGGGGCCAATCGCCACAGACTTTTTTTTCTTTTTTTCGCAGGTTTTGCTTTTATGAAATTATATTTGTTATATAAAACAATGTTTTGTATTTCTATAATATATGTAAATATATAATATCAGTATATATATATATATGTATGATTTATAGCGTATTTGAATTACATATAAAAAATACATACATTATTTTACATTTATTGTATTACATGCATTTTCTTACACACATTTTATATATACATTTTTTTTGCGTCTTTATGGTACATTCATCATTTATTATCATATGCTGATCATATGTATATATATATTTATATATACATTTATCCCATTACCATAAGTATAATTATTGAACATTTATTTTCAATTTATCATTGTTTTTATTTACATATTTATTGCGTATTTAAGTTGAAGGAAATCACATAATGTGACGCCTTTGTACATATTATTGTACTCCACTTGGTTGACATAGGTTACTATGTGTCCTACCAAACAGTTCACCTCATTTTGGTGCATACCGACTTTTGGCTCAAGCACTGAGTAAAAGGGGTGCTTGGGCGCTAGTGCTGACTTGTGGTGTGTGGCTGTGCATCACAAGTTCAATAGGTTAACAGCCTCATCCGCTTTGTGCATTCCATATATAGCTTAGCAAGGACTTGAGCCATCCTTTGTTAGGCAAACCCCGCCACTTAATTCTTGCCTTTGGTCCCATAGCTAAATCGAGCTGCAAGCTTTGGCCCACTTGTGCAGCGTTAAGTGTGACCTTCCACCGCCTATCCAGGTATCGGAAGTGAAGCATAGAGAATCCGTGTTTAGGACCGTGTGCTCCGAGGGTGGAAGTCTGCACATCTATTGCAGCACCACTCACCAATAGCATCCATAAAAGGGAGTAGAGTGATCGCATTGCTAGACGCGTGTTGAGCCTTTACTCAGTCCAACCACAACCGCAATTGGTGTGTAGCTTGATTATTTAAGTGCTTGTCCCTCGTCGAAACTTGCACTTGGTCGAGTTGTGTCAGAGACCTCACCAGTTGCCGAACAAAGGCCAATTTCGAAAATGAGTTCTTAGATTGGCATTTTGCCAGCGATCCCAAACTTGTGCAAGGGCATTTGTCTTGAGAGATCCTAGGAACATAATTAGTGGAAGCATATCCCAAATAATCAAAGGTTAGGCCAGAAACTAGTGAATCAAGAGAGATCGGTGTACCTATCGGATCAAGCAAGCTACCTTTAGTTTCACCGCAAGAGCTACGCAAGAGCTACTCTTTTGTTTCACTGCAAGAGCAAGACCTGCGACGCAAGACTGTGTATGCCACCTTTGCCACCTCCGGCACCATCGAGAGGTAGGAGTCGGTCGAGAGACAGGTTCCAGACCAGGGTTGCTGGGGTCATCGCTGCTCACCGGAGAAACCTTCGCTGCGGCAGGGCAGGTCAGAAAGGTCAAGCAGCGCGGCGTACAAGGGCAATTCACAAACATCTTCTTGGGATCTTGATTGAGTATCTTGGCCAGTTGTTGAAAGGCTTCGCTCGGCGCCCACCGCCGTCAGAGGTGATTGTTCGAAAGCGACAGGCTGAAGTTCGATTGAGGTATCTTGAGGGTTGCCCAGGTGGCTTCGCTGTACACGAAATTTTCATATGGTAAGGTAAAGTAAGGTATGGTAAGGTAATGCAATGTATGTATGTATATTTCAAGTATGACATCTCGTACATTTTGTTGAATGACTATTTTCCTTTTTAAACGCCAAGTTATTATATATATATAATTATATATATATGTATATTTGTGTGTATTTTGCATCGTTTTCAGTTTATTTTGATATTTGGTACATTTTTTTGAATTATCTGTGCGTGTATATATATATATATCTATTTCTATTTGCAGTCTTTTTTTCAGTACAGGATTTTCGCATATTCAAATGTAAATAGAGCATGTAACTTTTCAACATTATATTTGACATTTCTGAGCGAATTGTTTCTGTATCTGTTGTTTTTTATTTTTTAAATGTATAATATGGTCGATATTTTTGAGAACATGTTTGGCATATTGTATTCATATTTTTCGTTTTTGATATTTCACATTATCATACATTTGCACAATTGTGTGTTGGTGTGTTTCAATTTTTATTATTTTCGAAAATGCAACGCATATCTATATATAAATCATTATATACAACCATATGTTTCCATATTTATATATACATTTACGTACATATGTTTTATATTTGTTATTTAAAATATGTACCACATATTTTGTTAGCATAGATAGAGAATTATACATATATATATATATATGTAAATATGTAAAATCATTTGTACAGTATATAAATGATATAGCACAGTTTTGTCTATATGTATATAAAGAATTCCTCCCCAACCAAAGATGATGGCGGAATATGGGTTTGCATCATTTCCTTGCAAAAACAGTGACTAGTCGCAAATTTGGGGCATCAATTTTTTTTGTTGGATTCTGCAGCGGGGTAGCGCATGCGCCACCTCATGCATGTCATGAAACTGCAGATACCCCATGTACTGGGGTTGGTAAATGTCCCATTTTGGGAATATTGGACATCACCTTACAGTAGCCATTATAGACCATATACCTAATGGTTGGGTGATGTTCAATGGGGACATTTAATGACCCATTTTCACACAACTCATTTTCAGACATGCCCAGACGTTGGTTTTTTTGGCGAAATTCTGAAATGCGTCCTCCAGAGATGATGATCGCGCCCTCTTGGTTTGCTCTTTTGAATGGTATCCACTTTTGTTAAAAAAACCGTATGTTTGTTGCTTAGGTTTGCATTGAAATCATTTTTTTCCGGTGCTTTAATCCCCAAACCAAACCATCTTCAGTTCCAAAAACATCCCATCTTCACAAGTGGTTAGTTCTGGTGGGTTTCGTTTCCCCACTCAATTTCCTGGGGGAACCCCACAAGGTGAGGCCCCCAAGTTTGTTGACCGTTGGTCTATAGACCCTCTTAACGGCACTTGTATCTCCCATAAACCCACTTATAAACAGTTTCAGCAAATTATAAAGTTTCCCCAAATTAACTATAATATTAGTATGTACCAGTACTTTGACAAATTGGTTTTTAGTTACAACTTCACCCAAATCATGAAGTAGCGCTATCGTTTACACCAGGGATTCACCAGCCTCGTCATCTGAGGCCTTGCCATTTCGTTGGCCAATGAGGCGCCGACCTATGACTGCTTGGTGGTGACTGGAACCATGGAATTTTACGATTTTTCATGGGACAAATATATTGGAACCGTGGTTTTTGGAATTTTCCATATGTTGGGAATGTCATGACTCCAAGTGACGAACCCCTCATGATTTTTCAGAGGGGTAGGTGGCTCAACCACCAACCAGATGATTTAGTAAATTGATAGCCATGGATAGATGATAAATTAGATCATCACTTTTGTTTATCATCTATCCATGGCTATCAATCAATGCGCCATTTTCGCCGCTAAACGATTCTGGGTCAACCGGAGGGGTAGTTGTAGCAATATCTACTAACCAAGCAAATATTGTTTTCTAGGGCATGTAGGGTTGGCAATGGAATTGACTCCATTGAAACACTGGATTTGACTCGCAGAAAATGGGATCTCCAAGCAACCAACATGTGGAATTTAGTAGTGATCAGCATGGATTTAGTCAGCCAGAACCACAGATATTTCACTAGCCAAAATTGGGTAAACCATCCACGGCCAAGTCATGCCAATTCGCAAAATCACTGGATTATACTTGCCAAAACATGCGATCTCACCCATAAATGATGGTTTACCTCTTGTTTTTTCGAAAATGGGGATGTAACACCATTGCCCATGAACTATGAACTGGCTCGAATTGTGGTTATCAGTGAAATCAACTGTGGTTAGCAGTGAAGTCAACTGGGCTGAGGCTGCTGAGGGCCTGGTTACCATATAGAATCCATTTTTTTCAATGGGGATATTCCACGATCATTGTTGAACAGGAGAATCATGGTTCATTTTTTTCTGTGATTTTTTTTTCACCATTACTAATCATTTGTATCAAAGCCATTAAACATTTGATACTAATGATTAGTAATGATATAGCTGACCCAATCTGTTACAATATTTTTTTCACCATTACTAATCATCTGTTACTAACCCATCAATCTAACATGATATAGCTGGGAAAAAATGGTAAAACAGGGATGCTGGGACATCCCAGCGTTCATTGTTGGTTGTTATGGTTTTTGGTTTTTGTTCAATGTTTCTTCCTTATCTTTGATGTTTTATGTGGTGGGGGTTTTGGGACTATTTTGCCCCTAACTTTCACTGGATGGTTTGGTTTAAGATGAGGGGGATAATTGTTTAGACTGTTGGGGTTGTAGGTTTGTGTTTGTGTCGGTGATTACGTCATAATATATTTTATAGAATGGGCTAGCGCCCTGGTGCCGCCGACCCCCCTATTGGGGGTGGTCCGGTAGAGAGAGAGAGAGAGAGAGGGCTGGCAAACGGCAGCCTTGAACGTCCATAAAAAGACGCTGCCACGGCCTCAGGGACTTGTTGGAGCTGCAGGAAAGGTCTGCCGCGGCCTGAGTGGCGCCTGGGAGCTGCAGGGAAGGGTTTGGGGAGTTTTGAGGGCTGGCAAACGGCAGCCTTGAACGTCCATAAAAAGACGCTGCCACGGCCTCAGGGACTTGTTAGAGCTGCAGGAAAGGTCTGCCGCGGCCTGAGTGGCGCCTGGGAGCTGCAGGGGAGGGTTTGGGAAGTTAGGCGAGTTTCGAAGGCTGGCAAGAGGCAGCCTTGAACCTCCATAAAAGGACACTGCCACGGCCTCAGGGACTTGTTGGAGCTGCAGGAAAGGTCTGCCGCGGCCTGAGTGGCGCCTGGGAGCTGCAGGGGAGGGTTTGAGAGTTTTGGCGAGTTTTGAAGGCTGGCGAACGGGAGCCTTGAACCTCCTTAAAAGGACACTGCCACGCTTCAGAGACTTGTTGGAGCTGCAGGAAAGGTCTGCCGCGGCGTGAGTGGCGCCTGGGAGCTGCAGGGGAGGGTTTGGGGAGTTTTGGCGAGTTTTGAAGGCTGGCAAACCAGCCTTGAACCTCCTTAAAAGGACACTGCCACGGCTTCAGGGACTTGTTGGAGCTGCAGGAAAGGTCTGCTGCGGCCTGAGTGGCGCCTGGGAGCTGCAGGGGAGGGAGAGAGAGAGTTTTGAGGGCTGGCAAACGGCAGCCTTGAACGTCCATAAAAAGACGCTGCCACGGCCTCAGGGACTTGTTGGAGCTGCAGGAAAGGTCTGCCGCGGCCTGAGTGGCGCCTGGGAGCTGCAGGGGGAGGGTTTGGGGAGTTTTGAGGGCTGGCAAACGGCAGCCTTGAACGTCCATAAAAAGACGCTGCCACGGCCTCAGGGACTTGTTAGAGCTGCAGGAAAGGTCTGCCGCGGCCTGAGTGGCGCCTGGGAGCTGCAGGGAAGGGTTTGGGGAGTTTTGAAGGCTTGGCAAACGGCAGCCTTGAACGTCCATAAAAAGACGCTGCCACGGCCTCAGGGACTTGTTAGAGCTGCAGGAAAGGTCTGCCGCGGCCTGAGTGGCGCCTGGGAGCTGCAGGGGAGGGTTTGGGGAGTTAGGCGAATTTCGAAGGCTGGCAAGAGGCAGCCTTGAACCTCCATAAAAGGACACTGCCACGGCCTCAGGGACTTGTTGGAGCTGCAGGAAAGGTCTGCCGCGGCCTGAGTGGCGCCTGGGAGCTGCAGGGGAGGGTTTGAGAGTTTTGGCGAGTTTTGAAGGCTGGCGAACGGGAGCCTTGAACCTCCTTAAAAGGACACTGCCACGGCTTCAGAGACTTGTTGGAGCTGCAGGAAAGGTCTGCCGCGGCGTGAGTGGCGCCTGGGAGGGTTTGGGGAGTTTTGGCGAGTTTTGAAGGCTGGCAAGAGGCAGCCTTGAACCTCCATAAAAGGACACTGCCACAGCCTCAGGGACTTGTTGGAGCTGCAGGAAAGGTCTGCCGCGGCCTGAGTGGCGCCTGGGAGCTGCAGGGGAGGGTTTGGGGAGTTTTGAAGGCTGGCAAACCAGCCTTGAACCTCCTTAAAAGGACACTGCCACGGCTTCAGGGACTTGTTGGAGCTGCAGGAAAGGTCTGCCGCGGCCTGAGTGGCGCCTGGGAGCTGCAGGGGAGGGTTTGGGGAGGTAGGCGAGTTTCGAAGGCAGCCTTGAACCTCCATAAAAGGACACTGCCACGGCCTCAGGGACTTGTTGGAGCTGCAGGAAAGGTCTGCCGCGGCCTGAGTGGCGCCTGGGAGCTGCAGGGGAGGGTTTGGGGAGTTTTGAGGGCTGGCAAACGGCAGGCAAACGGCAGCCTGGGACCTCCGTAAAAGGACACTGCCACGGCCTCAGGAACTTGTTGGAGCTGCAGGAAAGGTCCGCCGCGGCCTGAGTGGCGCCTGGGAGCTGCAGGGGAGGGTTTGGGGAGTTTTGAAGGCTGGCAAACGGCAGCCTTGAACCTCCTTAAAAGGACACTGCCACGGCCCCAGGGACTTGTTGGAGATGCAGGAAAGGTCTGCCGCGGCCTGAGTGGCACCTGGGAGCTGCAGGGAAGGGTTTGGGGAGTTTTGAGGGCTGGCAAACGGCAGCCTTGAACGTCCATAAAAAGACGCTGCCACGGCCTCAGGGACTTGTTGGAGCTGCAGGAAAGGTCTGCCGCGGCCTGAGTGGCGCCTGGGAGCTGCAGGGAAGGGTTTGGGGAGTTTTGAGGGCTGGCAAACGGCAGCCTTGAGCGTCCATAAAAAGACGCTGCCACGGCCTCAGGGACTTGTTGGAGCTGCAGGAAAGGTCTGCCGCGGCCTGAGTGGCGCCTGGGAGCTGCAGGGGAGGGTTTGGCGAGTTTTGAAGGCTGGCAAACGGCAGCCTTGAACTCCTTAAAAGGACACTGCCACGGCCTCAGGGACTTGTTGGAGCTGCAGGAAAGGTCTGCCGCGGCCTGAGTTGCGCCTGGGAGCTGCAGGGGAGGGTTTGGAGCAGCCTTGAACGTCCTTAAAAGGACACTGCCACGGCCTCAGGGACTTGTTGGAGCTGCAGGAAAGGTCTGCCGCGGCCTGAGTGGCGCCTGGGAGCTGCAGGGGAGGGTTTGAGAGTTTTGGCGAGGTTTGAAGGCTGGCGAACGGGAGCCTTGAACCTCCTTAAAAGGACACTGCCACGGCTTCAGAGACTTGTTGGAGCTGCAGGAAAGGTCTGCCACGGCCTGAGTGGCGCCTGGGAGCTGCAGGGGAGGGTTTGGGGAGTTTTGGCGAGTTTTGAAGGCTGGCAAACCAGCCTTGAACCTCCTTAAAAGGACACTGCCACGGCCTCAGGGGCAGGAAAGGTCTGCTGCGGCCTGAGTGGCGCCTGGGAGCTGCAGGGGAGGGTTTGGGGAGTTTTGAGGGCTGGCAAACGGCAGCCTTGAACGTCCATAAAAAGACGCTGCCACGGCCTCAGGGACTTGTTAGAGCTGCAGGAAAGGTCTGCCGCGGCCTGAGTGGCGCCTGGGAGCTGCAGGGGAGGGTTTCGCAAGTTAGGCGAGTTTCGAAGGCTGGCAAGAGGCAGCCTTGAACCTCCATAAAAGGACACTGCCACGGCCTGAGGGACTTTTTGGAGCTGCAGGAAAGGTCTGCCGCGGCCTGAGTGGCGCCTGGGAGCTGCAGGGGAGGGTTTGGGGAGTTTTGAGGGCTGGCAAACGGCAGCCTTGAACGTCCATAAAAAGACGCTGCCACGGCCTCAGGGACTTGTTAGAGCTGCAGGAAAGGTCTGCCGCGGCCTGAGTGGCGCCTGGGAGCTGCAGGGAGGGTTTGGGGAGTTTTGAGGGCTGGCAAACGGCAGCCTTGAACGTCCATAAAAAGACGCTGCCACGGCCTCAGGAACTTGTTGGAGCTGCAGGAAAGGTCTGCCGCGGCCTGAGTGGCGCCTGGGAGCTGCAGGGGAGGGTTTCGCGAGTTAGGCGAGTTTCGAAGGCTGGCAAGAGGCAGCCTTGAACGTCCATAAAAAGACGCTGCCACGGCCTCAGGCACTTGTGAGAGCTGCAGGAAAGGTCTGCCTCGGCCTGAGTGGCGCCTGGGAGCTGCAGGGGCGGGTTTGGGTAGTTTTGGCGAGTTTTGAAGGCTGGCAAACGGCAGCCTTGAACCTCTTTACTGCCACGGCCTCAGGGACTTGTTGGAACTGCACAGGGTCTGCCGCGGCCTGTTGCGTTTTGGAACGCCGTAGAAACAGAGATTGCTGTGGCATGAGTGGCTCGTGGGAAGTGCACAGAAATTGCTGTGGCCTGAGTGGCCCCTGGGCGGTGAACAGAGGGTGCTATGGCCTGGGTGGCTCGTGGAAAGTGCAAAGCATTGGGAACGAAAAAAAGTTCCACACCTGCGGTGGTCCCAGGCGCCGCCCCTGCCTTGGCTAAGGCAGGGGTCGGCGGATTAAGATATTATGAATGAATCATTTCTGCTTTCCAGTTTCCTATTCCATCCCACCAGTATTCAATCATACGGATTTGTGATAAGCGAGATTTGCCTTGCCTGTATCGTTTAGTTCATCCATCGCGATGGATAATATTGTTAGGTTGTCCGCGTGGAATTGCCAGTTTTCATTGAGTTCTCTACCCCGGCTCAATGATGAAGTCTTTTGCAAGTATGTTGTTATACAATCCTCTAACGATGTCAAGTCTTTTGAACAAATCAATGTTATTGCATCTCCAACCTGATTGAGCACTTAACCTCTCTAAAACTTTGTTCCGGAATTTATTATCATCAGTTGAAGGGTCTGTGTATGGCCTCGTTGTTTACCTTCGCCTCTTTGTTTCTTCATCTTCTATGCTTGAATGCCCGTTGCCTCAGATGTCATCATCAGTACTGTGTTGCGCTGACTTTCCATGTTGATAAGATATTCTTTCCGACTGGAAAGGAATTGCGTGGTTTTTGAGTTCTTTTAGGGAGCATTTATGACCGCACATGGGATGATATAGGTGGGCATCGAGAACTGCAAATTGCAACAGTTTTTATGTGAATTCGGTGGAATATGCGCAGGCATTTTCGGCTCCAGTATGAGTCTATAGAGGTCCAACAGTTTCACAAAACAGTTGACCCGCGACCCCGCGATGATTCGGCCCGTGTTGTTGTTGTTGCTCATGCTTTTGGAGCTCCGCGGTGAAAGCAGCGAATCCACAGGCATGACGAACAATTATACCACCACGGAATGCGAAGGACTTTGCATTTCCAAATGCAAAGAGGTTGGGGGCAGTGGTCGGCATCTCATGCCCTATCTTGTGAAACAATGCCATGAGGTTGTAAGAGATTACTGCCGTGACTGGTTTGGATATGACTGGGCTAAATTTTGCGTTTGTCCTCTGGATCTTCATAGGGTTTGCTGCTGTCACGTACCACGTTAGACGGCGTCATCAACCGGATTGGTTAGACATGCATCGCTCTAAATTATTTTATAGCTTGGTTGGGTTGGAGGCTCACAGTTGTGGCTTCATGTCAGAGAACACCTGCCAAACTGAGCAGACGACATGTGAACGTGTGCAAAAAGGTGGTGTTCGTAGATGTTCGCAGATGCTTTGCATAATCTTTGCATGAACCATTTGCTAATTATTTAGCCAGTACATGACTTCACGTATTTCATGCAACAAGGAGTCATGACAATCAACATGTGAGATTAATCGTGCCGGAATTGGAGGCAAAAGACAGGTGAGAAGCATTCATGGAAAGAACGATTATTTTCTTTGATTAGAGGGGTTTTCCTTATTTGAATAGTAGTGTAAGATTTGTTAAGAAATATAGCTACAAATCCTATGTTTATAAACAGAGTTATATCTAGGTAGGCGTAATCCCTGCCTGGTCAGACAATCGCCCTCCAGACAATCGCCCTCCAGACACAGATCAGAGGCTATAATAGATCTCACCCTTACACCTGGTCAGGTAAACAGCCTCCAGATAGAGCTTCGAAACTATTCTACCCCTATCTATACAACTACGATATAAATACCCTATAAATATTAGGATTTTAACTATTTTCTCTAAATCTTACATTACTGTTTAATGACTATCTGCTACTCGTAGGCCAATAAAGCATGAAGGAGTTCCTGAACCAGTTAGTCGATGGTTTATCCCATTATAATCCCATGATTTACAGTGTTTCATAGTTGCCTATAATGATTATAGTTATACCCATAGTCAGTTATACCCATCATATAGTTATACCCATAGTTATACCCATCGTAAAATTCTTCAGTGTTTCATAGGAATCCCAAAGGTTCGCTTGCAGGATTGCATTTCGCAACCGTCCGGGATCATGGTGGTTATATCCCAATTTGGCTTAATAGTAATATTAAACACCATTAACCACTATTGATCACTATTAATCATTATAAATTACCCTTAATCACAATTAATCACTATACTATAATATAATAAATCACTATATTATAAATCACTATGAACCACTATTAAAATCACTATTAACCACCATGAAGTCTTGCCATTTTCAGCGGGAGGTGATCATGTACACCGACAAGGCCAAAAAGCTGGCAGATACTGCGGTGCAGGAACAGGCCGCGGTAGCTACGCTGTGTTTTGGTGAAAAAGATGGTGGAGATAAAGCTGTAAGAGATGGTGTAATTACAATTTGATATCACTTATCACTTTTATATATTTTTTTGTACATAGATGTTTACATTCTTTGGTATTTCTTTGGTATTTCTTTGTTTCTCTTGTTTCTCTCTCTCTCTCTCGTGCTCTCTCTATCTATCTGTCTATCTGTCTATCTATACAAATATATGTACTGTATGTATACTGTAATTACTATATCAATATATAAATATAATATGATAATATGTATATATATATACATAGTCATCCTGGAGTAGATAGAATATGGACCTTTTTCAAAGAAATCATCAGTAAATTGGGAATGTCTTTGAACATTCCACATTCTTTCTACTTCAGGAAGCTTATTCAAGAACATACTTGGTGGCTCATCCCACTTAGTAAGTGGGTTATAACCCCAGTTATAAATGGGATAAGTAGGGTTAATCCACTTACAACTGGGGTTATAACCCACTTACTAAGTGGGATGAGCCACCAAGTAGATAGCGCTTGGGAGCACCTTCTGAAACCGGACCAACGTTCCCAAATCATGGCGAATTCCCGTGGCGGATTCACCACTGGTACTGGTTCTTTCTGTATGGGAAAAATGATGGGATTTATAGTGATTTTATGGTGATTTAGTGGTGATTTTATGGTGATTTAGTGGTTAATTTATGGTGATTTATGGGATTACTTCGATGCAACCGGATTTTATGGTGATTTTTTTGGACAATGAACCAGCAACCATAGGGATATTCGTCGGAAATACCATCTAGTCATATAACAGTTTGCTACGGAAACTTGCCCCTTTAGAGATTATTTACCGATTAAAGGTGGTGTTTTTCCAAAGCTATGTTACGATTGGGGATATATTTGCTGGCCCATGCCAGTTGGTAATCGTAGCCCCAGTCATAAGTAGTACAATGTGGGGCCCCCCAGTTATAAGTTGGTTTATAAGCCCCAGTAACTCTAGTTATAAGTACCATAAACCATAGTTATTGGAGTTATAAACCAACTTAGCTATCGTTCGGGGCCCCCACTTTGAAGGGGAAACAACCACTTATGAGTGAGGCGATTCTAGCCACTTACGATGCCAGGGATGTGGCTCCAAGTAGCCATGTAGATATCATGAAATTTTCCATGGGGATATACGAAAAAGGACATAGCAATTCGCAACAATATGGTAGTTGGGCATGTGTGAAAATGGATGATTGATACACATACTGGTTGGTGGTTTGGAACAAGCCCGGGCTCAAACACCTGCCAGGGGTGGGCTTGCTCTTACTGAGGTTGAGTGGTTTGCCCCCCCTGGTACTTGTCTTTCATCGGTTTCGTGCCATGTCATCCTGGGATGTTCCATGCGCTGACCCAAACCTGTTCAATCCTGACTGGTGCTCTGTTGCTACGGGCTCTACTGTGTCAGTGGTGGTCGACTGTGAACTGCTTACCTCTGAGTTGCTCACGGGTGTCTTGGTGCCTGGGAACCGACCTGTCCGTGTGGTGGGTGCTGTGGACTTTCAGGTTCGAGGCTGTCGTCGTCTTTCCCTGTTTGATGTCCTGGTTGGCTCTGTTGGGACCACTGTGGATTTACTGATTACAGACGAGTCCGTGATCATTGCCCACGGAATTCGGCAGTCTGGTGACCTTCTTCGGGTTGTTGAACTGTGGTCTGGCTTGGCCTGTTCTTCCCGTGGTTTGGAATCGGTTGGTTTCCGCCATGCCTGTAGTGTTGAATGGAGACAGCCTCTAGCCCAGCTTCACATGACATGTAACCCAGGTGTGCCGATCGTCCATGGTGACATCAACAACCCTTCGTGTCTCAAAGAAGTTATGAAGAGAGTTGAGCCGCCGTTCACTCTGATGTGTGGGATGTCATGTCAACCATATAGCTCAGGGGGCACACAAGCTGGTTCATGTGATGAGAGGTCGAACACTGTCCCAGCTACTGTCCGTGCATGTCACCTGTTTCAGTGTCCACTGCTGATCATTGAATGCGTTACCCAAGCCAGGTCCAACCAATTTGTCACGTCCTGTCTGAAGCAGCTTGAGGTCCAATTAGGTTACCACCTGACTGAAGTCACCCTGAAGTTGGAAGATGTCTGGTGTGCCAGGCGATACAGGTGGTGGTTGATTGCCTCACATCCGTCCATCGGCCCTGTGCAGATTCCGGAATGGCCAAGGAGCCTCAATCTGAACATCCGTGATGTCATGCCGTTTGCCCGACAGTGGCCAGCTGATGTGTTGCAGGAGCTGTTGCTCACTGACCATGAAGCTGCCCAATTCACGCTTGATGGTTCCAGTTTGAGGAAGTACCAGGTCAAGATGGATGGAAAACTCCCAACATGTTTGCACTCGTGGGGCAGTCAGGCATCCAGTTGCCCGTGCGGTTGCAGGACGTCAGGCTTTAGTGACCAGCTAGTCCGACAAAGGGGTATCTATGCTCAGCTTGTCCAAGTGATGAACTCTGAAGGTCCAGTGCAGTATAGACATTTTCACCCAAGTGAACTTGCCCTCCTGAACGGAATGCCACCGCCAGAAAGTTGGATGACTCCAGAACATCCACCACTGAGGCTTTGTCTGTGCGCTGTTGGCCAATTGGCTTCCCCACTGCAGTCGGTCTGGGTAGGTGCATGCATTGTGAAGCATCTGAATGCAATTTGGAATTGTGCTCAAGTGAGTCCGTCAGACCTCCTTCACGGATTTCGGTCACAACTTTTTCACATTGCCCAAGACATGTTTCCCAATGTTCCAGTTGCTCCAGTTGGACCCATGTGGACGTGTTTGAAATACCCAGATGGCACACAGGTCCATGTCCAAGTTCAGTCCCAGACCACTCTTGTTGAGCTGTTCCAAGCCGAGCTTGCCTTGACCCAGGACGCCCCTGATGGGGAATGGTTCGATGATGTCACTGGTGCCCCTTTGGACTTCAATGCTCAGGTGGGAGGTAGATGTGTCCGGGTTGTGGTCAAGTCAGCCACGGCCGAAAGGTCTGCCAGTTCATACTCCTTGACCCATGCACAGTTGGCACAAATCCCTCTGGATTTTGGGGATGACCCATCCGAAAATGAAGTTGAACCTGAACCAATGCCAAGTGATGTTGATGCCACAATGTGTCCCGAGCCATCGACTGCTGCGGTTCCCATTCATGAAGTTGCCCAGCCGTCTTGCCACAGCGATGTCAGTGCTAATCCAGGCCATGTCATGGACACGTTGTTTGGACTTCGTCGGTTGTTTGGGATCCAACTTGCCGCTATCTTGCCACCTCTTGTGTCCAACCAACAGGTGTGTGACAACTATCGTCAGGTCACTGTCCATGGTCCCTCCCGTCTTGAAGTCCTTGCCAATGAAGGGTGTGCTATGGGTGATGACGAGTTGGTGCTCCATCTTCGTGCTTGCCTGTTGTTGTCTGGCCGTACTGATGTTCAGTTGCTTGACCCCTTGTTGGCATCCAGTTGGCAGAAAGGAGGATCGGTTGACGACGTGCGTGCTTGGGCTAGCCAGTTTTGTGACTTGAAAAGCATTGTCACTGTCGTACATGTCCATGATCATTGGATGCCTGTTGTCTGGACTCTTGGACTTTGCGAGGTACGGGTGTCTATGTGGGAACATGTTGATGCAGACATTGACTGTTTGAGCCCACTGCATGGTCTTGTCAGCCAGGCATTCAATCGCCCCATGTTCAGCCTGGCCTGCACACGCCGATCGTTCAGTCGAGGGTTTTGCGGAGCTGCTGCCATTGCTTTCTTGTCTCACCGCCTTTTGGGTAAAGATCTGCCACAGACTGAAGATGCCCTTGGTGATATGCACCGTGACCTCAAAGAAAGCTTTGCTGCAGCATGTCATGATGTAGTTTCTTTGCCGAAACCATGGTGTTGGGGATTGGGTACCATTGATGTGCAGAGCCTCACGGTGGACTTGTTGAGCGCTCATGGAGTTCCTCCTGCGCAGTGCCAAATGCGTGCCAAGTTGGTTGTTCAAGCCCTTGGGAAGAACGAAGTCCATGCTGCCATTACTGGAACTGCTCCTTGGAGATCCTTGAAAGCCCTTTCCAATCAACAATCGCCGCCCTTGCAGCTTGTGTTGCCTGATGAGTTGAACCAACACAATGCGAAAAAGCCAGCCTCCAAGCCCAAGAAACATGCCAGGAACACACCATTGCCCGCTCGCCCAGCTGAGCTTGACCCAGCCAAACTTGTCATTGAACATGGAGCATTCTGTGTTGGTCAGGATGAACCACTGCCGCAATTGTCCTTTGCCTCAGTTGGCCCACTTGTGAGCGGGGTTGCCTTGACGACGTACTCTGAAGCCAGCCACTTTCTCCAAAATGGAAAGCTGCTCACGGCTCATGGACTTGCCTTGCTTGTGTTGAATCCGCCACAAGACTTTCACACTCAGCTTGATTGGATGACCCTCAGGTTTGCAGCTCGATGCAGTGTCAACCATGAACCCATGTTGGTGTCGGGGATCCTTGTCCAACTTGGTCAGTCTCAGGTTTACCAATACAAGGCGAAAGACATCCCTGCCATCATGTCCGTCGAAGTTGCCTGTGCCAGAGTGTCCGTCTTTCAGGACATGTGGGAAGGTAGTTGGGAAGACTTTGCCAGCCGCCCAGTCAAACATGTGTTAGGTGTCCTTCCTTGCCTGCACACCTGTCGCAATGCCGAAGGTTGCTCTTGCAAGAGCTGGCACCCGCCGAGTGACCAGCCACATGATGCATTGCTTGATGTGTTCAGACGCCAGTTTTTTACTGATGCCGGCCGGCCCACCAAATGGGAGAAGGCCACCCACTTCTCTGTGCTCATCAGGTATGTGAAGCAGCTTGAGACTCAGGTGCTACGTGCCAGTGCCCTGCATGGGGTTTTCATTGAACCCAAAACAGAGGATGCCCTTCGACCTCATGATGACTTTCAGGTTGTCTGGCTGCCACAGATGGACTTTGCTGCAGTTGCCCATCGAGCCCAGTGTGAAGTCGATTGCCTTGGAGTTGCACGTTCAGGCCGGAGATTTGGACTTCGTGTTCATGTCAAAAACTTTCAGCGGGTCTTCACCAGTGCCAAACCTGATGCAGTGTACCTTGCCCCTGGCAACAGACTGAGCTTCCAATGCGGGCCCTGGCCCTTTGGCTCAGACAGGAAGAACATTGCACGTGCCTTGAAGGCCACAGGTTGGGAATGTCGCCCAGTCCAACCCCTTCACCATGTTCCAGGTGGCTTGATGTGGTCGGTCCAAGCAATCGTCGAGCCACCGACAAATGTCCTGTCGTTGCAACATGGCCAGGTAGTTATCACCGGGTCGGATGCCAAACATGCACCAGCTGAGCCAGACACGAAGGTTGTTGGCCAAGCCACAACTGTGGCACTTTGCCGCCCTGCAGATGGAGCTGTTGACCCATGGTTGGCCCAGGATCCTTGGTCCAAAGCAGTTACTCAGACTGCTCCCCAACCTGCCCAACAACCTGCTCCCAATGTTTTGCATGAGTTGGAACAGCGTCTGGAAAAGACCTTGCTTGACAGGTTGCCGGTGTCTGATCGCATGGAAGTTGATGGCCAAGACCAAAGACTTCAGGTCCTTGAGCAGCAGGTTCAGCAGCTTGCTTCACGCCAGACCAGTTTGGAGCACACTGTCCAGGACAACCATCAGCAGAACACAGCACAGGTCCAATCGCTCCAGCAGCAGATGAAGGTGCAGCTTGACATGCAGTCACAGCAGATGCAGTCGATGCTGACTGACCAGATGACAAGGTTGGAAGCCATTTTGGCAAAGAAACCGAGAACCGAATGAAGGTGTGGGGGCCCTGCCAAACCGCCCATGAACAGGGTGTCCCCTGGACGTTTCCGTCCGCTCCGGGCGCTTTTTGCCATGTTTATGTTTCTCTCAGTTTGCCGTGTTGGCGAAGCACGAGTTCCAGGCCCCACTGCCGAACCATGGTCACTTGGGATCTGTAATCCCTCTGGATTACAAGGAAAGCATCATGTTCTTAGCCAGGTGGATGCCACAGTGTTAGCCATCAGCGAGACGCATTTGTTGTCCCTTGCCAAGAAAAACTTGACGTCCAGTTTCAAGTCTTTGCAGTCGAAGTACAAGCATGTTATCACCGGTGCGCCCATGGCACCGAGGACGACCACCAGTGACGCAGGACAGTGGGCTGGTGTGGCCTTCACATCCACTGTCCCTTGCAGAAGTTTGGCCACCCATTGACCGCAAGATGTCTATGAAACAGGCCGGATCCAATTTGGAACGTTCCTCACTTCCGCCTCCTGGGTGACGGGGGCTGTCGTGTATGGGTATCCTGAAGGACGTACTCACCCGTTTGCTCATGAGAAAACAGAACAGCTGCTGGATTTTGCTTTTGATCGGCTCTCCATGCAACCAGGTCCTCGGTTCATGGCAGGTGATTGGAATTTTGCACCTGAGGCTTTGCAGGTTTCCCAGAAGCTGTCTGATGCTGGGTGGGTTGAAGTACAGAACCTCTGGAGATCACAGACAGGTGCAGACATTCAAATGACGTGCAAGCAGGTGTCTCACAAGGACTTTCTTTGGATTTCACCGGAACTTGCATTGGGGTTTCAGCCTATTAGTGTTGATCACCATGTCTTTGCCGATCACTCAGTTTTGATAGCACACTTTGCTGGTGGCCGATCACAAGTTGAAAGGTTTGTCTGGCCGTGCCCAAAGCCCGTTCCTTGGACTCAACTCCCCCCCCTTGAGCAGGCTGTTGACTTTGCGTCCCCATTGGATCCTACCCAGCAATATGCCGACCTGTGGCGATGCAAAGAAGCTCTTGCCAAGGCACACCTTGGTGCTGAATGGATGCCAAGCATGCAAGGACGTGGACAACAGACCCAGCCACGCCGGACTGTTGGCTGCCAAGCACCCCTGAAACAAGGCCGTAGCCAAGATGTTCAACCTGCTTTCTTTGGATTTTCTGCCATCCATGCCAAACAATTCAAACAAGTGCGGAGGTTACAAAACTACTGTCGTTGGGTTGACAACCGCACTAGTCACACTGCCCAGGACATGCTGCATGGTGTTGGTCTTTGGAACTCCATCTTGAAAGCCACTGGATTTTGGCCTTCCTTTCAGTCTTGGTGGCCTGGTAGACAGTATGTTTGTCCGCTTGATCCTGCTCACATTCCTGTGCATTGTCCGTCGTCTGCTGTTGCTCATCAGATCTATGATGCTGTCCTTGCGGAAGTCCGGCTTCTGGAACAACGTCTTGTCCTGTCCAAGCAGAGCTATCGTCATGCCAGGCATGAACGAGACAAGCACTTGATTTTCCGCGAGGTTGCACGAACACCAGCAGCCCCTGTTGAAACCCTTGTGCACCGTGTTGACGCTGTGGTCACACAAGTTGACGTTGATGAATCCGCAGTTGAACTTGACAAGCCTGTGGAATGCCTGCCCTCTGAGCCCTTATGGATTTCCGGGGTAGCTCATGACATCATCCATGCCGACCATGACAAGGTGTGGATTGAAGATGTTAGTGGAATTTCCCCTCAAGACAAAGTTGTCCAGAGCAAGCATGTTGGTGACCTTCGGGCCATCTTCCAGGCCTTCCATGAGCAGTGGAAAATTCGATGGTGTCGGCACGATCAGGTTCCTTTCACCCATTGGGCTGAGTTGATTGCGTTTGCACGGCGGGTCATCAACCCTTCTCCGATTCCCCACCTGTCCGTTGATGCTGCCCTTCTCCAAGCTGAAGGCTTCAAGAAAAAGAAAAAAGCTGCCACTGGATTGGATGGTGTTAGTCGGCTGGACATTGTGCAAGCTGACCACAACACGCTTCACAGCCTAGCCCAGCTCTACCTCAGAGCCGAAGCTGATGGCTCTTGGCCAGCTCAGCTGGTAGCAGGCAAGGTCCAGTCGTTGGCCAAAACTGAGCATGCCTCTACGGTAGGCGAATACAGGCCAATTACTGTTTTTGGATTGCCCTACAGAGCTTGGAGTAGCATCCAATCCCGACACCTCTTGCAGTTTGCAGACACTTGGGTTGATGACAGTGTTTATGGAAATAGAAGGGGTCGACAGGCATCAGATCTCTGGGCTCATCTTCTTCAGCAGATTGAGTCTGCCTATGCCTCATCTGAAGCTTTGTCTGGGGTGTGCGCTGACCTTGAGAAGTGTTTCAATTGCATCCCTCGCTTTCCGGCCTTGTGTCTGGCGGTTTTGGTTGGTACACCTGACTCTGTCACGACAGCTTGGGCAGGTGCTTTGGCTAGCATGTGCAGGCACTTCAAGGTTAGGGACTCCTACTCAGATGGATTTCTCACCTCAACTGGGTTGGCTGAAGGGTGTGGACTTTCAGTCTTTGGGATGCTCCTGGTTGATCACCTTTTTGCTGTTTGGATGAAAGTTCAGGCACCTTCCATCTGCTGTCTGACCTACGTTGATGATTGGCAGGCCATCACACGTGACCCCCAGTTTGCGGTGCGTCAGCTTGAACTTGTTGAATCCTTTGCGTCCATGATTGATCTCACGGTTGATCGGAAAAAGACCTTTGGTTGGTCCACTTGCCCAGAAGTGAGAAGAGCCCTTCGTGACCATGGAGTTAAGGTCTTACACCATGCCAGGGAACTTGGTGGGCATCTTGGGGTGTCACGACAGTACACCAACAGAACCCTCACTCAGCGCATTGCCGATCTTGATGATTTCTGGAGCAAACTTCGCTCCTGCCGAGCAGGATTCACTGCCAAGACGTTCATGTTGCGTGCTGTCGCTTGGCCGCGTGGCCTCCATGCTGTTGCCAGTGCCCCGGTTGGTGACCAGATTTGGGTTAACCTTCGCAGATGTGCCGTGAAAGCCCTTGGCATGCAGAAGCCTGGTGTCAACCCGTCTGTCCTCCTTGGTCTTGTCACCCCTGGGCTTGACCCTCAGCTTACTGCCGTTCTTTGGACTTTTCGGTCACTCCGTGTGCATTGTCCAGTGGACTTTTGGCTCTCCTCTGTCTCGCCTGTGGCTCATGGGGACTTGGACTTACCCCCTAACTCCCTGGCCTCTCGCTTGGCAAGGATGACCAAGCCATGTACCGTCTTGGACTTGCTGGTGGATTGTTCACTGATCGGTACAAATCGAAATGGACCCAACAATCTGAAGCGTGCCGGTGGTGTGGTGCTGTTGACACTTTGTTTCATCGGTATTGGGAATGCCCACAACACCATGATTTACGACTGTCTCTGGCACCCGATCTCCCCGCCATTGTGGATTCCATTCCTGCAGCTTTGACGTTGCGTGGTTGGGCCCTGCTCCCACCTACTTGGACTTCATGGATGCAGCTGCTTGCTGCTCTTCCTGTGGACTTGCCCCCATTGGCTGCTCCCTTGCGTTCTGGTGAATGGAATGATGTGTTCACCGATGGGTCCTGCCTTGCGTCCTCGTGTCCGTTGGTTCGCTGTGCTGCTTGGTCCGTGACTTTGGCTGCTCCTTTCCATGCTGGTTGGACTCCTGGTCAAGCCAAGGTTCTGTGTGCCTCGTTCCTTCCTGGCCTGGTTCAAACTGCCTACCGTGCTGAATTGTTTGCTGTTGCTTACACTTTGCATTGGGCTGCCTTGCTTCGAGCACCAGTCAGGATTTGGACAGACTGTTTGGGGGTCATCACCAGATTTAATCTGTTGATTTGGGGCTGCCATCGTTTGAATGTGAACAGAAGCAACAGTGACTTGTGGCAATGGATTCTCAATTCTGTGGCCGTACTTGGAAGAGAACGTGTTTCACTTTGCAAAGTCAAGGCGCATTGCACTCTGCATAGTGCTACGTCGCTTCGGGCCGCATGGAAAATTTTCTACAACGACTATGCTGACAGGGCAGCGCGCCTTGCGAATCAGGCGCGGCCAGCTGAGTTTTGGCGCGTGTGGGATCAACATGCGAGAGCGGTTGAATCTGCAGCACACATCTACAGTCAGGTGAGCAGACTTCACATTGCTGTGGGACGTCGACATGTCCGCCATGGTGACCCCGAGCCAGCCGAAGCTCCCCCTTCGGTGCGGGAGACCAGACAGTTTGCAGTGCAGTTTGAGCGTGGGAGGTGGACCGGTAACCTGCTGCCAAAGTTAGCCAGGCTCTACGGTACCGCTATTTCACAGAAGGCCATCCGATGGTTTTTGGCACGCATCGTTGAACAAGAAGGAGTCTCTCCAGTGTGGGTTTCCTACACTCAACTGTATCTCGATTTTCAATTGACATGGGGGCACCCTGGACCACTTCGAGTCCATCAACAGTGGGTTGACACTGACCAACGACCATACCTGGCGGCAGAATCTTTTCATTTCCGCCAACGGGTAAAGTGGTTCAAGCAGTTCCTCAAGGCCATGTTCAAAGAAGCTGACATCAAAGCTGCAATTGCGCAGTGTAGGCCGCAGTCTGGTATCATTCAGGCATTCGTGCCGTCAGTTTCTGTTCCTTGGGATCCTCAGTCGCTGTTGGAAGTTGAGCGCTGGCTCGCGACACAGGTTACAACACCCTGTGTACGTGATGCGGCTATTTTGTATCACCTGCCCCTGGCGATGCGGTGTGATCGCATGCAGGTGTAGGGTTTGGACGTCTCAGGTAGGCATACCTCGCTCTGAAACCCGAGCAGGTATTGGGACCAAAAGTCTGGCAAAAGTCTGGTGGTTTGGAACATTTTTTTGTCCATGTTGGGAATAACAATCCCAACTGACTTTCACTCCATGATTTTTCAGATGGGGTAGGTATACCACCAACCAGCATCCAGCATGGCAACCAATATTTTTTTGGAACCTGTGATGATTTTTACCACGGGATTTTTGGGTACCCTCCCCATGGAACCACGGTGACTGGGTGACCCTTCGAGACGGGACCTGGTGAGACCTAGTCTTCATGACGGTAAAAGAGCACACCACTAAGTGGAGATACAGATAACTAGGGATATTTCATTCATCTTACCAAGTGGTTTAGAGAACCAGTCATTAATCTAACTAGGGATACTCTTCATACACACATATATATATATAATATCTATACACACATATATAAACAAGAAATCTTTCATACCCTTTGGTAATTTAACATAGCTATTGAAAATGACCATAAAAATAATGGATTTTCCCATTGATAGCATGGTGGATCTTTCCATCGTTTTTTGTATGTTTACCAGAGGGTAAATCTCACTGGCTTCTATGCTTCCCACTTTGGATCCCTGGCATGGCTACAGGCCACTGGAAGCGCCGTTCTGGCGGCCAAGCACATGCTTGAGGTGCCGCAAGCGCTGTGAGCATCAAGAAAGCAGAAAAAATATCTTATAATGATTTTCATATGGTTTCATATGGTTTAATGGTTTTTAAATCATCTGGATTATGATTACTGTAATCATTCTGAATTGTTTTTTTTTAAATGATTTATGATTATAATATGTTATAAAAACAGTTATATCTACATAAGTTACTTCATTCAGAAAGGTGACTTGTTAAACGTTCAATGTGTTGCTGTAAATCATGTAGATCAATGGGGATTTTGCGCAAAATAATGGGTCATTCACCTAAAAATCAATGGGGATCAATCCAATGTAGAACTAGGGTAACATCAAGAAACATGTTGATGAGATCAAAAGAAATGTGGATGAAGTGAGATGTTTATGCAGATTAAACCAATGTGAGATAGGACTTCGGTTTCCGGCGGAAAGGCAATTGTACGATGCAACCCAAAAGAATTCATACCCTCTGGTTATGGACTTTAATGATTTTCTGGTGATTTTTAGAGGAATTGAACACACAAAAACAGGGATATTCATGGGAAATACCATCTGGTTATCTAACATAGCTATGGACAATGACCCATTTATAGATGCTAAAAATGATGATTTGCCCATTAAAGAATGGTGATTTTCCAGTTCGCAAGCTTTTTCAGTACCAGGGGATAAGATCCAGCTCTGCCGGTTCGATAATATTTTCCCAAACATGTCATGGTTGGATTCCAAGGATCCCCGATCCGTGGTGTTTTTTTTGTTGTGCAGATAGTGGGAGGGGAAAGCAACAGGGATGGTTCCCATGAAGTAGTGAATATACATGAATATATTCTCATTCTACATGGCTTATCCCATCTATAAATGGGTTATATGTAACTAATTATATGGCTATTGCTATAACCACTTATGAAGTGGGGTGATCCTTTCCATGGGCAGTTCTAGGTGGGTATCATTGGATGGTTCAGAACCGGTTATCCTCCGTAAAACCTCCCGGTTATTATTTGAGAGATATATTCCCATGACATAGGACCCATAGAAACAGATGATGTTCCCAGCTACAAACATTCATTTATAGGGATGTGTCCCCAATATTTTTCGAAACATGTCCATATCGAGGTTTCTTAAGTCATAGGGCTACCCCTGTATAAATCATCCATTTTACGACGATTTTTTTCAAACAAAAACCATCTATGGAACCGTGACGGAGGCCACCAAACTCATGCACATGGCCAAAGAAAAGAAGGTGACGTTTCGGGAGGTTTTGGATGGGGAATTCGTTGAAGGAGGGGTTCTACAAAGTGGGGCCCCCCGAACGATAGCTAAGTTGGTGCACATAACTCCAATGTCACTATGGTTTATGGTACCTATAACTATAGTATTCATGGGGTTTATAAACCAACTTATAACTGGGGGGGCCCACATTGCATGGTGTGGTTCCCAGTCCCAGTCATGGGTGGTTTATGATTGTTTTAACCACATTGTCCCAGATGTAGTTGTTGAGTTTCTATCCAAAATACACATTTTGCCAACACAATATGTGCGAACATTTGGATTTGAAGGGGTAAAA